GTATTTGTGAAGTATGGGGATTTATCATTGCTGTCTATGGGAATTCATTTTTATTTAATTTTGTCGGGTAGTCAGAATCATAGGGTCTGGTATCCAGACTACAGGGGTTCCGAACAAGCCTCGTCCCCGTGGTGAGTGCAGTACGTCCTCACTCCCTGCCCTATCCGAACTTATGCAGGAAGTACAGTAACCACTGCGAATCAGCGCCAACCACTGATAGACCGTGGGCCAGAAATCATACGCCTAGCATACAGGTTCGTTGCAGAGTAGCAACTTACTTTTTTACTATAATAAATACCCTACATACTATGAATCAATATTTTGTCTGTTGCAATCCTGATGTTGTGCTATTTAATGTGAAAAATAAGGGTATAAAAACGCGAAAATGCTCGCGTTTTGTTCGCCTTTTCCTGATGTTCCGATAGAGGGCGCAATTACCAACCTCGACCCCTTATCAATTTGAACCCATGAATACCACCGTTGCACCTGGGGACGAGTGGCCGCATAGGGCAAATTTCTCTTTTAAAAATCTGGCCCTCTCTGCAACTCGGATTTCAATGTGAATTTTTACCCAAAGTAAGGCGTCCTTATTTACTATCAATTGCGCCATCCATCCGATAACACACATCTACTTTTCCACAACCGCCACGCGCCACCAACGTGTGACCTGTCTTATTTCATCCGTACACACAGTCGAACATTGTGCATAGTGTGTGTGCACTGTGGTTGGGATTACATTCACTGCACAACAATGCACAGTACATGTACATTGAGTACGTTTACATTGTACTAGTCCGAAGGCAATATATTTTTATGTGTCTTGCTGGGGAAACTCGACTTGAAAAATTCAATAAGCGTGGCTTTAATTAAAGGAAGCTTCCATTGAGTTTTGAAGTGTAGTCTACTCTCATAGAAAAGTACATATTGATTGAATGGAATGAATTGAAAAACAAAACAAATAAAAAAGCTTGAACGCAACCTAATGGAGGCCTTTTGTATAAGCTGGTGCACAGCTTTTAAAGAACAAATTTAGAGGAAGACAGAGAATAGTATTTTAATATCAGTAAATTATTTTTCGGTGGATCCCAGTTTTTTACAAATACAAACTATTTTTTTCCATTTTTGAATCTGAAAGGTCGACTGATCTGAGTACCAACTCACAAAAAACAAAACAAAACTTTCCTTAACCCGGTTAGGGTTACGGTTTAGGCTTTACAAGATGTTCGAGGCAATTACACAGCATTTCAAATGTTAATAAAAAGATTATTGCTTTATAGAGCTACATGTACAATAAGGTACCAAAATTTCTTAATATTGTTTGGAAATGGTCGACAAATTTTGCGCGTTGTGATTGGCCAACGTGCTGTAAACTCTTGGAGGCGCGCTCAGTATTGTGAATCGCGTGTATTAAGCATCAATTTTTCGTATACTTCAGTTTCAGTTCATGATATATCACGTGAAACACCTTCTATCGCATAGTGTTATTCATACACTTGCCAGGCGGCTTTCACGCATGCGTGCTGAGTAAGTTGTGGCCCACACAAACGACTCTACAACTCAAAGAGTTAACGTAACTTGTCGTGGGCGTTCGAGCACCGATTTGACTCGATCAAGATGGGAAATGTGGTTTCATAACTAGTCAAAATGGAATGCTACACTAGTTTTGAGCACAGTTTTTGAAACTGGACGTGTGTTGGGAAAACTATAGGCAAAGCCCACTCGCTACCTAGTCAAGCCTAGGTCAAGCCCTGTCTGCGGTTTTGTGCCAAATTCATAACAAAATCCCTTGAGGGCGATAACAGTAGCTGATATGAGATCCTCGAAATCCTGATACGGCCTGCCAGAAAACCCGATTTTTATTCCCTAAACTTAAATTACGGTAGAAAATCATCATAATAATATGGTATACTCACTGTCTTAAAGTGACAAAAATGTTTACGCCCAAATGCTACCGAAACATAATATGCATAATGAATTTTCCATTTATCATGAATCATTTATTAATTTTTTTCAGTTTCTTCAAGTTGATCTTGCGCACGTACACTTTGATAACGAACGCAATAAACGTGCATGGGTTGCAGTAAATATATTCATTTTCGAGTTAAATTTGAACAAAATCTGAACACTGAGTTCTTTAACTTCACGTGAACATAACAACATGTGTTCTCCATACTTAAACCCACGTTGCTATACCTAGTTACATAAGAGACGCCTTGCACAATACACTGTTCTCAATGGATAAGAAGGGCACAAAGGAACCAGTCCATTCCAGAGATGGTGGTCGCTGTGCAAAAGCTTGCTCCGATCACCAGGTATAACAGCAATGTCTTTAGTCTGGGGAATTCGAATTGTTACGTTTTTATGCAATCAGATAACACAGTGTACCAGATTTTATTCAAATTTAACTCGCAAGTAGCTTATTGTTTAGCAAAGTTAAAACTGCTGTGTTGCTTAATGGCCTCTGTAATATGATGATACACGGCTGACTATGAGGTTGGACGATCGGGCCGATTATCCGGCCAGCTTCACTCTTTTAGGCCCTAAATGTGCGTCGTCTTCTTTGCAAACTTGTTTGCGCTTCAGTTATGTACAACGAGTATATTACATGCAAATTGCTCAGTTCTACATTTACAACGTAGTGTCATCAGAGAGAGAGATATATAATGCAACATCTTGTTTTGGATAGACGTTGGTTGGTTTCCTTTCACAAACTTTTGCCGTCCTATATTTGATTCGTCCTGTTTATGTTTGATTCGTCCTTTCTTTTGCCCTATCATATTTAATATGTTTCGTTCCTAAAAGGGTCTTTTCTTTTACGTCACACTGCGTGTTTCCTAAATGCGGGCTGTCTGTGCAAAGTATAAAGAAGAAGTCACAATCATAATTATCCGAGTAAGACTGAAAAGTGAATGGAAATTAATTCTAATGAGAAAAAAATGTATTTTTAACGAATTTGATGTGAAATCTAAGCCCAGTTAACCAACTGAAGGGGAAACTTTCTTGCAAACTTTGGCCGCCCCCATAAGTCATGAGGGGCGTCCAGATGAGTGTGGTACATAGGCCAACTTCACTAGTTCCATATGGGTAATAGATCCTTGATACTACATACACACGAGCACCGTGTTAAGCCAAACTTACGGTACATAATTATGTCAAATGCATGTGACTTCCCCGTAGGCCTTGACCTGAGTTCACAAAGCTGTTTCTACTTTCCATGATAATACCTCAATGCTTTTGGGCTGACGGCTTCTGCTGAATAACCCAATTCTCTCTCATCGGCACCCTCCAGAGTTCTACTAGGCACAAGATGGCAATGGACGCCAAATCTTGTGTGGCATATGCACCTGTTGCCCTCCATACTTTCGACACAGGTAGGTTTATTGACAAGTTACTTTATACCACAACGATTGGGAAATAATTCACGGCTGCTGTAAAGTTGCACTCTCGTGGAACCGCAGGTAAGTTGGCCAAAGTTGCATTCAGAAAGTGTCCCAAATCAGTTCTTCTCAACATCCAGAAAGAGTTCCGAACATTTCAGCCTAAATGTACTGTACACACCAGATGTAAAATGAGCAAACAGCGCAAATTAAGTGTACTTACGAGGTCCAAGTACTAATCCAGATACATAACCAAATTACCTGACCAAACTGAAGGGCCCACCGAGTTGCTCATTGGCGTGTCCAGTGCAGCGGGGGAGTTCCCCTGGAGACATGTTCCAATTGTTTTTTATTTTATTTTTCAACCCTCCGAGCCGTCGGGGCTTACTATACTTGTACATGTATCTAAATACATGTACTGTGTTTGGCGGACACAATTCTGTCTCTAATGGTCTGAATAAATGAATGGAAGTCCCCTGGACATGTGAAAAATGTTCGTGTAAAAAGTGTAAGCACTCTCTATCAATTTACACTAATAAAGCTAATAATTATTAACACATGTAGAAATCCACCCTCCCCCTCCGCACCTGCTCCCACCCCAATTTTCCCTATTTTACCCCCAGCACCACCAACCAGAGCTACTCAAAATACAAATGGTAATACCTACATGTACTGTACATGTACAAGTTGAAAAAGGACACATGGTATAAGCCATAGACAGAACTGCTTTCTCTAGCCTTTTCATAGGCCCTGCCCCTCCATGCTGAACCAAACCTACAAGTGCAGATGTATTATGCGTGGCGGGGCCAGCCAGAAGGTCCCGAGGTTATATCTGGGCCAGGAGTTTGGTTAGAAACAGCTGTTGATGACATTCAGTCGTGGGCCACCAGTAGGAAAGTGGACAGGCAAGCGTCGTGTATGTGAATTGTAAACGTCGTGTTTGTGAATTGCAAACGTCGTGTGTGTGTGAGTTCAAACGTCGTGCTTGTGAAGTTGAACGACGCTCTCAAGGAGTGTCACTCAAGGAGAAGCCGGAGGTGCCCTTCGCCCCCGAGGGCGTTCAACTTCCCATGGACCCCGTCACAATAGGCAACAATTGTTTTGATATAACATGCCCATAGATTACACCAGAACGGTCTTATCTGTGTAATATAATTATGCATATTGTTTTATTAAGGGAATCCGTGCGTTTAGGACCGGTGTGGCGGTCTCAGCTGTCTCCCGGTCTCAGCGGTCCCCTTTACCAAATATGGTAAAAATACGTCATACCATCTCTGCGCACAACAAAAAGCAGAAAGTCGTCCGTTTAAGCATGGAGGTAGGGAACAGCAGTGCAGTCCATGCACGCTTCACGTTGTACAGTACGTGACGTGAACTGTACATCGGTAAGGACTACACCAAAGATAACAGCACCGCTCATAGTATCGTACCTTTGGCTTACACGTAACTTCGCTGTCATGCGGACATCTCAGCACGGAAGACCAACGAAACCGTGCTTGTGTCGTGCTGAATTGTCCGGCTACGTCAGGGGGGACCGCTGAGACCGGGAGACAGCTGAGACCGCCACGCCGGCTAAGGGGAATGGACGCTTATAATGCCCAAGCCGCAGGCGATGGCATTATGAGTGTTCGTTGTCAGCATTCATTCTTAAACGTTAGTTTAAGACCGGCCAAGCACATATTGATTCCCATCCATAAATACCTTTTTAGTTAGGGTCAAAAGAAGTTAATAAATGATGGATTTCCAGCGAATTTGTTCAAGAATGTTATTTTCATTTTCCAGATCACCCCGTCCATTTTGTGGAATATTCTTTGTGTAAATTGTCCAATACAGGTGATTCACAATAGCGCGCCTCCAACAGTTTGCCATGCGTTGACCAATCAAAATACGTGAAATCTCTCCAAGGCGCATTGGGTCAACAGATTTTGTGAACGCGTTGTTGCAAACTCTGTGGGGTGCATTCCACCAAATGCTCACAAGCTCATTAATATTTTATGTCCCACGGGATTTTAACAATAGGACAGGCCTTAATCAGGAGACATCATAGAAATATTTCTATAAATCCCGAATTTGGGACTGATAGTTTCCAGTTCGGGGTATTTCTTTCACAGAAAGTCTACCTATTTTGGATAGAGGCGGACGGCTACACATTCAGAAATGAGCGCTTAGTTTTGCTGCTATTTTGGGGGTATCTTCGTTCAAAGGCGAATAAAAAAATATTCCTGTCTAACCCCCACGAAATTGAAACGAAAAGTCATCTTCTGGCCATAATCTTGAATTTCCAGTGAAAAACGGAGGCCAACCTCTTCACGAGAGTCAACAGGCGACGCTATTTCGGTCCGATTTTGCGCTGTTCTCTACAGGCGCGTATTTGGTGTTCTGCAACCCGTAAAGACAAGATGGCGGCGCCCATAGCAACAGACTAAAAGGGGGCGCCCTGTTCACTGTTTAGTGCTCTACCGGGGGAGAAAATGAACAACTTTGTCTTTGGAAGTTGTCAAAACAGTTACGATTATAGCCAAAGATTAGCGGAATACACACCGTGTCTCTTTGAAGGAGCTTATTGACTATTCTGTCCTATAATGACTGGAAGAGGGCCTGATATCCCCCCATTTTTCTTCCTAAAAAGCTCCCCCGGACGCCGGGGAAATAAAAATTAGCAACAACTCCGTCTGCTCGTCCTCTTTCATTTAGTTTTCCTTCTCTGTGTCCCGCAGATTTGTAGAGTATGTTTGATTTCTCCGTTTGTTTACTGAATAAAATTGTCATTGCGCACAAAACACTGCCGCATTCAGTGGCAACGGACAAACTGTATTATCCTTCTTCAGAAAAACAAGAAAATATATTCGATTTTTGGAATTGGTTTTTCTATTTGGGAAAGATTTTCTTCGTTCTGAGCCATTTTTACTGCGAAACCGGCCCTCGCGGAGGTCATATTAAAGGTACATTCCACCAAATGGTTTTATTTCTGCGCGCAAGCTCGTTAATATTTTGTGATCCCACGGGATTTTTACAATAAGATATGCCATCAGGAGGCATCATAGAAATAGTTATATAAATCCCATGGGCTGAGTATAGAGAGTAGCACATGCGAACTCACAGAGAGCTTCTAAGTACCAGCGCAGTTATCTGTCCTCTGTACCTGAGGTTGCACAATTACAACGCAATGGACACGACACCGTTAACAACAAAGAGAGGGCTTTTGGTAACACCATGTGGATAAATTTCGTTTTGAAGAGGTATTGTTCTGATAAAAACCGTTGAGTGTGTATTCAACGTTTCTACCAGTGTGGTCTGGTCGTCCTCTGGTAGTGGAGAGAGGACGACCAGAGTCCACTGGTCGAAACCTTGAGTACACGCTCACTCACCGGTTCATATCAGAATTATACTTCTTCCAAAAGCGGAGATCCACACGGTGTTACCGCAAGCCCTCTCGTATATCTCCACTATGCAAAGCTTCAAGCCTTATTTACGGTTAACGCCACTATCTGTTATTTTTGACACGTAGCAATATCGCCAATGCACTCGATCGTAAATGATACATTTGTGCTTGTGGCATATCACGTGATCAATTTGTGACCACTAGAAATTCACTATTATCTGTGACGGTGGTGTAACAAGTACATGTAGGCCTAATCCTTGTACCTTACGCAGGGGTTGGCAAACCGGATAGTACAGAGTGGCTCGTTTGCCGTGGGTCCCGTGCGTGTGGCTCAATAATTTCCCTTGACAAAAAAAAAACGCTGAGACCGCCTTTAGCAAGGCTAGTGGCAAGAGAGTTGGTTTTAAGGCAGTGGCGTAAATCTATGCTGGAAATGGGGGGGGGGACGGGGAGAGGTGAGGGGGTGACTTGCCTGGTCATGGAAATTTGAAAAGTAAGGGGGTAGGGGCTACACCATATACAACATATAGAGGCAAGCTAGGTTTACTATATAAAGATGTACATCTGTATCAAATTCATGCAGAATCTTACATCAGAATGGCATATTTATGGCTTTTTAAAATTGTTTTCTGTTTTTATTAAAAACATTTTAGTCGTTATAAATCCTTACCATTTCCTCACAATCTGCTTTAATTTTTTTGCTCATCACAAAACAGTGTGGGGGGATTTAAAAGCCCCCCCCCGAATTTACACCCATGCTTGAAGTCCACAAACAAAGTACACAGCACTTTCACAAAAGAGAGAAAGAAAAAATTGCCTCCCCCCGTTTCAACCTGGATAAGCCGCTGGAGTCACTTGTCATGTTGATTTACAGATGCTACTTCTAGCGTCGACCCTCCACCGAGCTGGGAGGAAGTAATCGGCCCAGCGGAGGAGCAGGAGGTGGATGGGCCAGGAAAGCTCCCGCTCCCCGCACCAAGCCGGCGAGCTCTGATCTGGAGAAACCGACGATATTTCATCGTGTTCCTGGTGCCTCTCATCCTGTGCCCAATACCAATCGTTTTTAACGAGCCGGTAGGTTTTGTTGTTATAGCTATTGGATAACATGCTGATTTTTTTTCTGCAAATACTTGCCGAAAAATGTTGTCGACTTTGAGCGTGTAATCAATCTTGCTTTATCTCTTCGTAATTTTCTCAGTTTGGGAAGATTTCGTCGCACAAAGGCAACTCAGCTCCCACCCTTTCCTTATACTGAAGTACAATTTTGCGAGTATCCTTACAGCCCATGATAGACTGCGGACCACAGCGAGCCGTGTTTGCTTAAAAACAGTTCAGTGGTGCGTCACTAAAGACAGTCTTTGAAACTTGGGAAATTAATCGCTACCTCTAACGATTTTATTTTCTCTTGTCATTAGAAACCACGGGTACCTGTATTTGTTAGATGTTTTCCTACCCTGTCCAACAACTACATTTTACACAAATCCAATTAGATGCCCTAGCAGCGGTGCCACTTCACTCACACACACATTTTTCAGCTTGACGCGCGCGTGCCTTTGCAAATAGCGACACCCTATTGGTTGAAGAGACATGTAACGCGCACGAGTGAACGAGCACCGTGCCACAACAATATGGCTTCTAATTCTGGTTGTCGCATTACACTATATCTTGTAAAAAGTTAGTTCGGATATTCATTTATCGGGTCTGTCCACACCAACAGATGCATTTGCATATAACCCAAATCACCTCTTTCTTTAACAGTGTTGAGAGTCAAGAGATGAACACTAACAATTTTACTGATATTTGCATAATTGTGGAGATATAGTTTACACAGTTTAATGGTATTTGCTTGTTCGCTGTTAAAAGAGTCAGGATCTAGTGATAAAAATGTCCATCTTATATTAGGGGTCCTGGTGGGACATGCTCATAACTGTGTCACCTCATGTTTTTCAGGTAATCTAAAATACCACTCTTATAGAGAAAAGCTTGATGGTATTTGCTTGTTCGCTGTTAAAAGAGTCAGGATCTAGTGATAAAAATGTCCATCTTATATTAGGGGTCCTGGTGGGACATGCACATAACTGTGTCACCTCATGTTTTTCAGGTAATCTAAAATACCACTCTTATAGAGAAAAGCAATTCATCTTTTAAAACATGGATGCTACAGGTATAACAGTTGAGAAATATGTTAAAATCTATGGCGTTTCATTTCTTTAAGTTATCTTAAACCGGAATTTAAGGAGAATTAAGGAATAACGTACGACACGGTATGTCTCCTCAGAGTGACAAACATGAAACAGGTTGATATTGCCATTCCTTGAGCAAATAAACTCAACAAAAACTTACATTTTCCTGAGAAAGTTTTTACAATAACAGTTTACATGATATTTGTGGGGTTTTTTCTATCAGATGACTCAAATACTGCTCAATTTATCTTTACCTTTCCGGGGCAACAATCAGAAACAGTGAAGAGACGTAAGCAAAAGTAATGGCAAAATTTTACAGTTTGAAAGTTGTATTGGATGTCACGAAAATGTATCTGTAAGAGTGCGTTGAAAATATGATTGGTCACGGGATGGAAATTACCTTTGGTAGATCTTCACTGAATCTTTGGCGGAAAGAAATTGTACCTCAGTTTATGCTGTTGTTGCCCATAGATCGGCTACACGGCCTATAGCATCCTGATCATGGCCATCTTCTGGTGCACGGAGGCGATCTCTTTGGCCGTGACGTCTCTCTTACCCCTCGTCCTCTTCCCGCTCTTCGGTATCATGCCGGCCAAGGATGTCGCAGTCAACTACTCCCAAAACGTCATTATACTCTTCCTCGGCGGCCTGATTGTAGCTATGGCCATCGAGCATAACAATCTCCACCGAAGAATTGCTCTGGCTGCTCTGATGTTGATGGGATCCAAGCCAAGATGGTGAGAACGAGAATGCGTAGGAAACAGGGCTGGCTGTTGAGGGGGAATGGAATTAGAAATTTCCTTCAATAAGTAACCTTTCATGTATTATTTTTATTTTGCGATCATGCTCAAAAGTGGAAAGAGTGCTCAAAATATGGTGCGCTCTCTGCATTGTCCGCGTAAGTGGACAATTGCTACCGTAAACAATTTAATAAGTACTTCAAGTATTATAATGCTTTCTCTAGTTTTCCGATTACACCGTTCTGATCTTTAATACGATTCGCCAGTGTGACAGGCTAGCGATCTTCCTTTTCAAATTTCTACTTTATTAAAATCCTTAGCTGGTGTATCGTCAGGCGGTTTACCTTTTCTCTGAAGCAAAATTTTCAGAGTAACAGTTTCCGCTTGAACAAAGTCTTCAGAGCAACACCTAACAAATTGTACACAATGAAGCAAAACCTAAGCTGCAATGCTGACATGTTTCATTTAATGACGCTTTAAAAACCGAAACAGTGAAAGTAGTAAAGCTTGAGGGGAAATCAATCTCTCACATTCGAGATGGAATCCTGCAGTTGTAAGTAGACAGAGCCGAAATGAAGAGGAGATAAACGGGCACGACAGAAACACCGTGATATATGGTTATATCGCGCCCTGGCCTCTTCAGACCCGAGGAATCGGGAATACTGTTTAATGGAAAAATGATCTCCATTCGGTAAGGAAACAGTCAAGACTAGTCATAGAATCTGACGCTAAACACGAGATGTTAGCTCCTCTCCAAGACTTCTTTGTTGTTCGGTCGGCCCGATCTTGAAGTCGTACCGCCAAGATGGGAACCGCTGAGGTTCAATTAATTCCGAGGTTCAGCGCAGGATGGACGGCCTTCATCCTGGCTACAGTGACCGTGAATTGCTCATAGGATGGAGTTGGAAATTTTTGTTCTATAGCCAACACCACATTGGTAAGTTAGCATGAGCGCGCAGCCATAGGTCTCTCGTCAGTACGCCTTCCCTCCTTGTCGTCCTTCTTGTCGTCGTCCCCTTGAAGTCATCGTCCTCAGCCAGACGACAGTTGAGTCCCTGGCCGGGCTTTTGAAGCTTAGATGCCGCGTGTCACGCTGGAGTTTGGCGTAGTCGTTTCTTCGCTCCTGCTCCAAGATGAGATGGTCCATCTGGCGCGACATGTTTTTGACTTCAGCCAGTAAGCCGTTGAGCTCCTCTCCGATGTGGATCATCTGGGTGACCTCTTCCACCTAGAGTTCGCTCTCAGGTTTGCCAAGAGCCAGCAGGATCTCATTGCCGGCTATCTGCGGAGTTGGAGGGCAGATCTTAGTTCTGAGAAGGTTTGGCATGGTGTCTGGTCGATCAAGCATCAGATCTACTTTCTGCTCGATGGTGACGTTTCCCTTGTCAGTGATGTGAATGACTTCCAAACTCTCTATTGGTGGGTAAAGAGGTAGTCTTCCTGTCCGGACTCCACTCGCACCCCAGTCATCCGGTTGACAGACCACGTGGACTGCCTGTGGGCGAGAAGTCTCCCAATCCTCGTGACCGAAGATGTTGTAGCCGGAGATGCACAGGCCCCACAAATTGGTTTAAACATCGAAGGGACCCTATCCGACAGGTCAACCGCATGCACGTGTTATTGGGGGTCGTTTTTCGCTCTGATTCAGATCCTCAGAATTTTTTGCCAATCAAAACTAGTCATGATATCAAGCACTGGCGTTTGTTTGACACCAACCATGGACATGGATGCTATTTTAAAATACCATGTACATTTACATTAATAGATTTCAACATCATTTCTTGGTCTCCTTCAAAGAATTCAATTTAATTGATAATGCTTTGCGATATTTTATTTGTAGGATGATGTTAGGTTTCATGCTCATTACCGCGTTCCTGTCCATGTGGATTATTAACACCGCCACCACTGCCATGATGTTGCCGATTGCACAAGCTGTGCTACAGCAACTGAAAAAGGATAACGTCAAACAGGTACTAGAACTGGTCTTTGCCATTAAATAAATCAAAATGAAGCCTTCCCTAAGAAATATTAATTCCCAAAATTTACAAACTACGGGGAATGACTCGCACCTCATGTTCGCACTGCGATACGCCTGTGAGATCAACGACACGCACAATGTATGTCGCTGGGTAGACGCTCGTGGATTGTTCAGGTTTCCATTATCAAATACATTCTCCGACTCCCCAGCTTAGATCTACATGCGTTCAGAAACTTATGCTAGAGTGGATGAGGATATTATGTACATTTCTCAAATATTTATCAGGACAATTTTCGTATAACATGCAGTGCCTAGTATATCCTTTTTTCAACTATATTCATATCTACTGCAGAAAGACGAAAATGCCAACCAGGGCCGCAGTGATAGTCATACCAGAAGTGGGCGGGCCCACAAAGAGAAGGAAGGAGAGGAAGCCATTGCCATGGAGGAGGTTCGGGTTAGGTAGGTCATAAGGTTGAAAGTTTCAGGTCAGAAGTGATACATGTGGGCCTGCGTACGTCATTGTTTAGGATTTTCGAGTCGGGAAAATGGAAAGCGATTTGCGACATTGAAATGGGATTGCTTTGGTTTCTAGTCGAATGCCACACTCTCTTTACAGAATTTTTCATTTTCTCTCTCTCGCCTTTTAGAACTGACGTGCAGCCTCAGGATACCGGTACCAATATAGATGACGAGCAAGAATCTCGCTATAATTTCATTTGCAAAGGCATCCTACTGTGCGTACCCTATGCAGCAAGCATCGGCGGTACAGCCACGCTGACAGGCACGGCTCCAAACCTTGTACTGGCCGGTCAAGTTAGTAGGCGAGTGGATCCCCAGCAAAATGTTGTACCAGATATTCACGTGAATTCTTCATTGCTCACGTGACAAAAGCTGATATCCAAAAGTAAACGCAAGCGATTTTATGCATTTTGTAAAGGAAACTGAATTGTTGCTGCTTCACTATCGTTATTATGATGTCTTTTTATTAAATCTTTGAACTAGTTTGGCAAAAAAACTACTTTCAATATTAACATTTAATGTATTTTACAGTAATGTGTTTGCAGGTACGAGTATGGAGGTTTACATTCGATAAGGTAAAGCGAAAAACCACAATATGACAAAGTTCTGGGGCAGCTGGCTATAATATGTGATCTCTGACATTATGCTTGCAGCGTGGTTGGTTCCCCCGGTTACGCATTATCAGGTTGCCGCAGAAGAAACCAGCGGAAGGAAAAAAAAAGAAAAACAAAACAAAAACAACGATGCAAATCGGTTATAAAGTTCGCATGCCACTTTAGGTTTGAGTACATGAAGCATTTTTTTCAAATTACAGCGGCGATATGCGCGTGACAGTCTTGGTGGTTGTGCATTCCACAGTTTGTTCGGGTCTGAGGCTGAGGTCAACTTCGGTGAGTGGATGATGTATGCCGCGCCTGGTATGCTGCTCTGCCTGCTTCTGACCTGGATCTGGATGCAGATTGTTTACGTGGATCGCTGGTCAGTGCTGCTGGGAGACCAACGTTTGGAAATAAAGCATCTATGCCGCAATAGCCACTGAAATATAGAGGGTTGGTTTATTCGTACATCTTGGCGATTTGAATATTATTTGATGTTGTCATTTGAACTTTATTCCATAATTTGAATTCACGTAAGGTGCCTCAAGAAGCAACGCCAGGAACTCGACCACAAGGGCGCCGCCAGAGTCATCCGTCAGGCCTACAAGGACCTTGGGCCAATGTCGTAAGAAATTAAACCCACTTTTTCTTCGTCGTACACCTTATTTTCACGGCATCATCGTAACGAAGGTGTTACAATGAGCACTATATTTTTCAAGAGCTGCTTACCTAGATTGTTTGGGAAACTCTTCAATAATACCCGTGACTTGGTATACCCTACCAACTCCCCCAACTTACTGTCAATCTTCTTTCCCTTTCCTCTTGACCATTGATCGTCTTGATTGATTGCCAGAGGTCCTTGCAAATCTCGACTTTTCACACCTGTATATTTCCGGACAGGTTTGCCGAGAAGGGTGTTCTTGCCCACTTTATCTTGCTAGTTGTGCTGTGGATAAGCCGTAAACCAGGCTTTGTGACTGGCTGGTCTGTGCTCTTCCCAGAGGGGTATGTATATTGTGTAGAGTTTTTGAGTTGCAGCCAGTACTTTCGTTCCACCCTGACATGCACAAAAGGCGTATTCATGCATGTCCGTGTCGAACTGACCTCCAAGATAACTGCCATATAAAGCCCCAAAAGGTTTTTTCTCGTAAGAAATCTTGTGCACAAACCATACAAAACATCCTTATAGCTTCAAGCAGTAGACTATAAAGGGGAGACTGCAAACGTCGTTTATACAGTGATCAGTACAGCGATGATGCAGCAGTAATCCCACTGTAGAAGGATACCATTCACCAATTTGAATGATTTGATAACTACAAGTTGTTTTAGTGAACAACAAAGCCAATCTGAGTTGAGGGCAAACGACCAATTCAACTGCCCAGTCTGTAAATTTCTGTCCTTCAGATACGTGACCGACTCGACCGCAGCGATATTTGTCGCCTTCCTACTCTTCTTGTTTCCGTCCCGGATGCCCAAATTCTTGTGTGGCCGGAGCTCGAAAGGTCAGTGCTGTGGCGAGCTATTTCTTATTTGTTTTGTTCTTGCCACCCAGAGAAAAACACTCACAAAGATCATTCATCACTGATCATCAATTTCCCTGAACTCTATATTTTTCTTTTAGAAATCGAAATGGTATAGGGCACTTTTGAATAATCATAAAGATGTGCCCATTGGTCTTTGGAGTGGTATCGTATTGGCCTAGGGATTCTGAACCGGAGTTAAAATGTCTGCTTTCCATTGTAGAGGATTTGAAGGAAGAAACGGGTCCATGCCCGGCCCTTCTTGAGTGGTCGATCGTTCAACAAAAGATGCCCTGGCTGGTGGTCATCCTTTTCGGTGGAAGCTTGGCACTGGCTGAAGCCTGCAAGGTCAGGAAACACACCAAACCTTCATTATTATATAATGAGCATACCGCCCGCTCGTGACTGCTAATTTCTGATAGATGTTTCCCCTCGACACAGTTTCGTATTCAAACAATAATGCACAAAGCATGGCAACTAAAGGAAATTCTCTCTCTAGTACATTGATCCCTGACTGACAAAAAGGCTGCAAGTGAAAAGACGGTCCTCTTGAGTTTAATCGACTGTATATTTAAAATCATTCCGTCACCAACCAGGTGTCAGGTCTGTCAGCTTTGATAGGTGAGCAGTTCACTGCGCTGGATGGTCTCCCCCCATTTGCTGTCGTGTTTGTAGTGACCGTCATTATCGCTGCCTTCACTGAAATCACCAGCAACACCGCTACAGTAACTGTATTCCTTCCCATACTCGCTAGTTTGGTAAGTTCAGCAATTTGGTAAGCTTGAGTCGAAAGCCAGACTTTGGGTGTTTCATTAGGTTAACTTTTATTTAAGAATTGATATTGTAGCACGTTGTAATAACTGCGTGTAATAGGCCTTAGATCTGGGTGTCTGCGGATGTAGTCGGGTTGAATTGATGCTATGATCATTCTTGTTAAGGGGACAAATATCGGCGTCAATCCACTGTTCCTGATGCTACCTGCCACCGTGACCAGCTCCTTCGCCTTCATGCTGCCAGTCGCCACGCCCCCTAATGCTGTCGCCTTCGCCTATGAGCAAATCACTGTCATGGACATGGTAACCAAGCCTCAAAGTTGAAGACAACACTCATTTTGTGCACAATTAGTTTAATACGGAGAGATTTTGAACACAAGTACTGTTAACTACGTATAGAGAGCAAGGATGTTAAAATGAAGTCTTTAAATTGTTCAGTTCATATCCTTGCTGTCATTCACCTTAATGCACATTTATTTACCCGTTATGTATAGGAGGTTTTACTTTTACTAGATTGTTTTAAGGCCATTCGCACGGGTAGGACTTGTAAACACGTTTCCTCTTGTGTTGTTTGTACCTAGTTTTCTTCAAGTTCACACAAACAGAGAGGCTGTTCTCCAAAAATAAAATAAGGCTTGTTAGAAATTGAAATCTTTAGATGTATATAGCTATCAGTAACGGGAAAAAAGCAGTGAAGAAAATGATAGCACGACATTTCATAGCTTCCCCGCCGCTTTTAATTCTTTAAATCTCTCTCGCAGGTGAAAACGGGTTTTGTACTGAACATTCTCTGCATCTTAGTTGCCAACGCGAGCGTCAACACATTGGGAAGGTGGATCTTTGATGTGGGCACGTTTCCCGATTGGGCTAACGTCAACGTCACGGCAGCCTAGTTATGAGAGGGCGTGACCAGACAAGTTTGCTGATTCAATGGCTACGACAACCTATCCTGGATAATGTCAACTATGAGCTCACATTTGTATGAATTATTTCTCCACTGATTACAAAAAATGAAACATAGTCGTTGAATTTAACATTAAACAGGTCAAATTGGTAACCAGATATTGAGCGTGGGAAAGACGCCCATTGGGGCTGTCTATATAATATTAAGGGTTTCAATTACACTTCAGTTACACGAATGAAATACGAATCAACACAACCTAAGTATCACATTTACACACCTAAAATACACCATTGAAATAACAAACGACTCGTAATAGGTATGGTCGTTGAAATGATTTTCCTTTCAGTGCTGGACGCATTATACCGGTTTGAGATCTAGCTTTAGGGCAATCCGTAGAATTTATTGTATTGTTATACTCCTATTTGTATTCTGTAATTCTGGTTTTCTCATGAATGGGAGTGTTTACTTTTCTCCTTTCACAGAAAGCATTGTACACGTCAGATAAATTCATTGTTGTTGAATAACTTAAGGTGTTAAGACTAAGATCTGACTGTAAAACGTTTGCAAACCGAAGTAATTTTTTTGCGTAGCAAAATGTAGCCCTGTGTAGCTTTGAAATTTATTTTTATCTTTAAAGCAGTTCTGCAGTTTTAGATTTGTGTATGTCTACATACGACTGTGGATGTATACTTGGCGGTAAGTCGGCGATTGATTTGATTTTGTTTTCCACAGGCAACATCGCTGCGATCCATACGGTTTACACGTACGTTTTACCTTAGCCCTGGGACATGGATGACCTCATTATATATTTCAATGGGCAACTACCTCGTCTAATCGTCAGATTTACAACTGAACGATCTGGCAGATTCTATGCAAGCTCGGTAATCGGTTGAGATACCAGAGTCATAGTAATAATTAACCTTATACAGCATGTATTTTAGACCGCAGCATTAAGGCACATCAGTGTGCGTCGTCGATCGATCTTTGTAAGAAAAACGTAACGGTTCAGCATAGAGTAAGCGAACATGCCATCAAGCACAGTGAAACCTGAGCAACTACAGACTTCAGGCAGTATCTTCAACCGCAAGGGAACTTTCGTCAGTGCCGACAAGATTTGACAAGTCCGTGATTTTCCTGCATGTAGGCTCCATAATGACGACGACGGTATGACGACACGCAATCATAACATCAAGGATTTGTAACTGTTGTATATCACGAAGATTAATTATAGGGCAATGATGACTCAAATGAATTAACTATGATATAGTGATACATATTATTTCAATATACAATTGACCTAGCTGAGAGTGTTTATCGTTCACCTTCGCCAGATCTGCAATTAATAACCTCTACGTATTGAGTATAAAGGACAAATCAAATTTTTAAAAGCCATTAATATGCTAACCTGATTACCTAATTACAGATATCCATCAATATCATAAATATCGACCTTTATAGATATTCAAATGGTTTCAACCCCCTCCCCAGCTTTTCAAATTTTAATGGCCGTGTAAGTCATCCCCCCACCTTTCCCCATCCTCATCGCCCCCTAATTTCTGACACAAATTGACAGCACTGGTTTCCCCGATCTCTGTCGTTTGGCACGACCTTCGATCGCGGAATCTGCTTGAGCCGAATTTCTCTTACGAATTCATATCTCTCCAAACTAGGATTTCTTTATCTTGACAGCAGGGAAGGTGACATTATCAACTCGGTCTATTATTACTACCGCAGGTGTTCAGTCCACCCTTTTTGTAGTTATCAGCAGGCTCTACCCATGTAAACAGTGTTGGTCACTCACTCAGGCCTAGTTGGTTAAGAGGCAACTTCACAGAATCAGGTTTGCACTGATCGGGGCATGTTGGCATCAGTGTCAGCGATTAAAACTGAAAAATGTGGTTTCGAAATGTCACGTTCATACGTGGGGTGGTGAAACCCTACGGTGGTGGGTACACAGAGGGATTGATTTCTCCGGTGATTAAGATACTCCCAGTGAAGATCAAGAATCGGCACAAAGAATTACTCTCACTGTATATTAGAGTTGATTTATTTCTATTCGAAATCAAGTTGAGAATCCAAAATTCAGGACTTTCCCAGTATTGAGACTGAGATAATTTACACAATTGTGGATACTGGTACTCATAAATGGAGTTCACAACACTATGGATTGATTGACCAGTAATGAATAGGCTTGAGCTTATGTTGTGATAATTGCAAGAATGAAAAGTTAAGGCAGAGCCAGTGGGCAAAGGTCACTGTGCTACCTGCTTTCTCTATAGAGCTAATTCACCTTTACGTGTAAGACCACACAGTGAAACTTTTCAAAGACATGTACTAGTCGTTAACCCATACATAAAACAGTCGTTGAGCTTCGTGCATGTATACAAGTCGCATGGCCAAACTTTCCACCCAGCTTTCACGACAAAGCAACAAACAAAATCACTCCAAATGACGAGTTTTTGACCTGAGTGAGTTGGAGCCCACACTTAATTGGCATACATGTGCTACGAGGTAAATCCGTCAATGCGAACGGGCCAAAACTGTGTATAACAATTAATGAATGATTAAAAACTACAAAAGTTTAGGACAAAAGTGAACTTGCGTTTTAAAGAACAAACTCTGCTACTAATAGAGAGAGGCAAATCGACACATACGCCACGGTGAAGTACGTCGCGTAAGCATACAAGATTACGCTCATGTCTGGTTCGAACTAATGAACTAAAACCCGTTGTTGCAGACTAATATTTATAAGGATACGGCTATAGCTATAGCTACCTATAAGACAGATGCTCCAAATCCCTGTGTCACGATGGGGAAGGTGTTACCTTGATAAAAACTGAACTCAGATCGACTGATTTGCTGTCTGAGTCCGAGTCCGAGTCCGTAAAAATCGGACTCGAGTCCGGACTGACTGGAGCCCTCCAGCACTGACACATAACCATCTAAATTAAATAGAAAGAAACGTCCGACTCGGAGTCCAGTGTCACAACCTCTCTATCAGTCCCCCGGTTTTCATTCATAAGGGAAGCCGGAATTTGGACTGATATTGATAGCCTGGATGCCTCATAGCGAAGCTGCCACAACCAATTGAAGTCACATCACACCTGAAGCAGGGAGTGTTGTCACAAGGCTGTTCACTCGCTCGATCCAAGAGTAACCATAACAGGTTTGCAGTCGTACCTGCAGATAGTAGTCACAGGTTTGTGTTTGCTCGAGAAGTATAGGTTGCCATTCCAGTGGATCACGGACTGACGGTGAGGTTATCTTTCCATTTCACGGGAGATTTGTATATTGGGCTAAGAGCAAAAAACGTACCAAACCGTAACTCTTACCTAGCACCTTCTGACAATCATGCTCCGCCGTAGATATCACTTGGGTCTTACCAAATCATGTTATCCCGATAAAATAATTTGAGATTAAAAGCTCCTTGACATTCTAAGCCCTAGGCCTAATGCCTTTCAGCGATATCATTTAACACCATTCATATGCATATTGAACCTAAATTATCAACAGTGGCAAGGTTGATTCCAGTATACATTCATGAGAGAGAAACGGCATGGCTTGTCTTGTTAATCCTAGAGATGACTTCCCACGTCGACCCTCCACCGAGCTGGGAGGAAGTAATCGGCCCAGCGGAGGAGCAGGAGGTGGATGGGCCAGGAGAGCTCCCGCTCCCCGCACCAAGCCGGCGAGCTCTGATCTGGAGAAACCGACGATATTTCATCGTGTTCCTGGTGCCTCTCATCCTGTGCCCAATACCAATCGTTTTTAACGAGCCGGTAGGTTTTGTTGTTATAGCTATTGGATAACATGGTGATTTTTTTTCTGCAAATACTTGTCGAAAAATGTTGTCGACTTTGAGCGTGTAATCAATCCTGCTTTTTCTCTTCGTATTTTTTTTTGGGGGGAAGACTTCGTTGCACAAAGGCAACTCAGCTCCCACCCTTTCCTTATACGAAAGTACAGTTTTTGCGAGTATCCTTACAGCCCATGATAGACTGCGGACCACAGCGAGCCGTGTTTACTAAAACACTTCAGTGGTGCGTCACTAAAGTCAAACCGTACTATCTTTTTTTTTAATGTAAAACTTCGTGGACTTCGCTCTTTACAAACAAATTGAAGCCCCAACGCATGGCTTATCATATATCAAACAATATGAATACCTTTGTGGTCCGGTTGTTTCAATACACTCCCATGTTTTTGTATTGATTTTTTGTCGCATGTTCAAATATGTACATTATCCTAAGTGCATCATGGGCCCCAGCCTGATCATACTTTTTAAAAGAACTGTAAATCACTAAAAAGCAGGGCTGTTTTTATTCTTTTTTCTAAAGAACGGTTGAGCCAGGGATGCAAAGTGGGCCATGTCCCCCAAGAGGCGTTTGGTGCTTATAAAAATACAAAGACAAAACGGAGGGGTTTTGAATACTTCGTCTCTTCCTCTTAACGTCTGTAAAACACCCCAAATTCAGATTCTTGCCCAAGAAAGAGCATGAGGACTACATAAAGAAACTTCTGTTCAAGTTTAATCTTTTTAAAAATGAAACAGAAATTTAATGGGGCAGAGTTGGGAAAGGAATAGATTCTTAATTCGATCAATTATTTTCCAGTATTGATCTCATTCATAAAAACAAGTTGCAGTACAAGTATACCTTTGATGCCCCGCAGATCGGCTACACGGCCTACAGCATCCTGATCATGGCTATCTTCTGGTGCACGGAGGCGATCTCTTTGGCCGTGACGGCTCTCTTACCCCTCGTCCTCTTCCCGCTCTTTGGGGTCATGCCGGCCAAGGATGTCGCAGTTCAATACTTCAAGGACACCAATCTGCTTTTCTTTGGCGGCCTGATGGTGGCTGTGGCCATCGAGGACTGTAACCTGCACCGACGGATCGCTCTAGCTGTCTTGATACTGGTGGGATCCAAGCCAAGATGGTGAGATGGTACTTTTTGTTGTAGAATATTTTAACGCATTTTCATTTCAGATTTACGAATACAGTATGATTATTATATGCGAGTCCGAGAGAAAAAGATGCTATGACGTCACGATTGCAGTTTCATTGCCACGTCTGACGATGCCAAAGTTAATTTGCTCACACCTAACTGTTGCGTCAAAGCATTTAAGGTGAAATGTCCAACTTTTGCCTTTTTTCCCCATAGAATATAACCTTTTCTCCCAAAGAATATAAACTTTTCTCCCTTTTAAATTTTGTCATTTCCATTGTATGAAAGGTTTTTAGGGCAACACGTCCAAAAAGTACACACTGAAGCAAAAATTAGGCTGCCAAGCTGACATGTTTTATTGAACCATTTTTCTAAAAAGACCGAAACAATGAAAGCAGTGTAGCTTGAGGGGAAATCAGTCCCTCTCACTCGAGATGGAATCCTGCTGTTGTAAGTAGACAGAGCCAAGATGAAGAGGGGATAATCGGGCACGATAGAAACACCATAAATGGTGTTTATGCACCCTGGCCTCTTCAGACTCGACCATGATCAGGAATACTGATGAGGGGAAAATGATTTCCACTCATTTAGAAAAACAGTCAAAGTCCAGTCATGGAATCTGACGCTGAACACGAGATGTCAGGTCCTCTGTAAGATTGCTTGATGGAGTCGGTCGACCTGATCTTGTAGTCGTACCGCCAAGATGGGAACCGCTGATGTTCAGATGATTCCAGATGCGTTGTTGTCCAAGTCGAAGTGTTGGTCGTCGGGTTATCTGGGAGTTGTCTGCTCTATCCAATGCTCAGTTCCTGGCCGGCTGTTTCGTCTGAAGACAAACCAAGATTCAGTGGTGATGGAAACTTTCAATCTCGACTCTGGCCACAGTGGACCACTAACAGGAGAAAGTTCGAAGCAGTGATGGAGGACTCGAGCTCGGACTTAGGGACTCGTGACTCGGCTTGACTCGGACTCGGCTAGTGGCTGACTCAGGCTACTTACCGGACTCGAATCAAGTCCATTCAAAAACTACTTTTAAAATTCATAAATTTCATTGGAAAAAACTGTCCGCATCTGTTGTCCAGAATTGTTTGGCTATGACCCATCATTTTCGGGTCGAGGATAAAGGCAAGCATGTGTAAAAAGCGCGTATTCCCGTTTCGACAGAGTTGCCTGTGCAGTGCAGCTTAAAACATTTTTCATGAAGGATTGACTTACTTGCAGTTAGTCTTCCTCTTGTGACGTGTGCCAATCATCATTGGACAACAGATTGAGGGTGATAGTGACACCATCAAATTCCTCCATACGCATTTAGTGGATACTTCATGAATGATCCCTTTTAAGCTGTTATGTAAATATAGAATGTTCGGATTAAATTCAGTACACAAAAAGTTTATTCATTATTTTGGAATCATTGGACAGGTGAAAATTTTTGGACAAGCTAGGACTGGCACAAAGTTTTTATGCACCTGACTAAATGAAACCGCGTAAAGAAATAAACAAAGTTGACTTGTGTCCTGTCCATCTTTTTGTACACAAATTCATAGGTACATGTTCTGCATATTCTGTGCACATGCACGCATCACGTCTTGCCCTCACCGCCATTTCATCAAAACATGCCCCTGTCACAGATAATCCGTTTTGGCTTTACAACAAGGCATCAAGAAGCAGCCTTCGAAAAGAAAAATGCAAATTCTGTGGTAAGGTGTGCACAGAGAAACAGGGAGCAACTTTGTGTGGCACCTTCGGTGGAAGCATCCTATGGCAGATACCCTATGCAACTGAAAATTCTTGGATAGTTACTTATATAAGAACTGATCCTGCTCGTCAAATTTCGTGCTGAAACAGAAAGTTTTGAATGAATCATGCTCGGGGCACAGCGGTGTATACCATGTTGTTGTGTTGCCAAATGACCTTAATGTTCTTCAATTCAAACAAAATCTTTGGTGTGTCTGGGATTTGGGCTCAGGAGGGCAATATTGGGACTCAGACTCGACAACATGGATTCGGACTTGAGCTGGACTCGGACAAGAATGGACTCGGGCTTGGCTTGGCTGGGACTCGGATTAGATGGACTCGACTCCATCACTGGTTCGAAGTTTGTCCTTATTGCCGACACCACCTTGACATAAATTGTACTCACAGCCAAGCATGTCTCACGACTCGTGGGCGCACAGAAATGGTCTTCTTGTCAGCATGCCGTCGCTCCCGTTTGAACGGTGATGCCCAGGAGATGGAATCAGACTTGTCATCCCCCCTGGTTGCTGATGTCCACGGAGTCATCGTCCTCAGCCCTGGCCGGGCCCTCAAAGCTGAAGTGTAGCGTGTCACGCTTGAGGTTGGCGTAGTTATTTCTTCGCTCCTGCTCCAAGATGAGATGGTCCATCTGGCGCGACATGCTTTTGACTTCAGCCAGTAAGCCGTTGAGCTCCTCTCCGATGTGGATCATCTGGGTGACCTTTTCCACCTAGAGTTCGCTCTCAGGTTTGCCAAGAGCCAGCAGGATCTCATTGCCGGCTATCTGCGGAGTTGGAGGGCAGATCTTAGTTCTGAGAAGGTTTGGCAGGGTGTCTGGTCGATCAAGCATCAGATTTACTTTCTGCTCAATGGTGACGTTTCCCTTGTCAGTGATGTTAATGACTTCCAAACTTTCTACTGGTGACGGGCTCTTGGAGCCCTGGGTAACTAGGTAGTCTCCCTGTCTGGACTTCACTCGAACCCCAGCTATCCGGTTGACAGACCACATGGACTGCCGATGGGCGGGCAGTCTTCTGATCCCCACGACCGAAGATGTTATAGCCGGAGGTACACGGGGCCTGTGCTCCCAGAATAGCCGCTTCCATAGTCGGCAGACCCCACAAGATTTCTGATCTGCATTCTCAAATTTTCGCTGCTGATCGGAGCTCCGGATAACGCAAAATACTGGCGTTTGTTGAGTGTCAGTAGTTAATTATAGAATGGGCGCTTTGCTATTCGAGTTACACGCTTGATGGCTGACGGGCGCGGTGTTGTGACGAAACAATGACCTTAAATAATGTTATTAGTTTGTACTGAGTTCATACGTTCTATCTACTCTGCTTTGGTCAGGAATTTAAACATTAAATTTTTGGCCTTGTTCAAGGAATTCTATTATAATAATAATTATCTGTGGTGTTTCTCTTGTAGGATGATGTTTGGATTCATGATTATTACAGCGTTCCTGTCCATGTGGATCAGTAACACCGCCACCACTGCCATGATGTTACCTATTGCGCAGGCTGTGCTGCAGCAACTAAAAAGGGATAATCTGAAACAGGTGCTTCTTAAATCCTAGAATAACATAAAGTTGGAAGTAATGTTAGACAGACAAAAATTAAACAGTACACAAATTATCTCTCTTTTAGTGATCTTTTTTACTATTGCAAGTACCTGCCCGTTTCTAATTTTTGTAACCATGGGATATGGCGTCTCGTCCATGCACTGGTGTAGGAACTTCTTCTGTTTTCACATCAATTAAGTTGATTTACTGCGATCAATTCGTGTAAACCCCCTATTCAGAAGTTTAGCTGAAAAACAACGATAAAGCAGTTCATGAACATGATCATTGCAGGACACGGATAACATTGAAAGTGTTGAAGACGTTACTGCCAATGAGCGGAGCCACAGCAAATCTGAGGAGGATGTTGTTATTGAAATGGAACAGATTCAGCCAAATGGTACTTCAAGGTAGGCACAAGACTGCGCTCATCGCAAAGTATGGCTATGCACCTTTCATTCAGATTTGTTTTCAGTCATGTTTTAAAAGCTTAACCTGTAATTCATTAAAACTGTTTCTTTTTCCAGGACCAGGTTGCATTCTCTGAAAATGAGCAGTCAGAACCTCCAGGAAGACAATGAGCAAGAAGCCCGATATAACCTTATGTGCAAAGGCATCGTGCTGTGCGTACCTTACGCCGCCAACATCGGTGGTACAGCCACGCTGACAGGCACAGGTCCAAACCTCGTGATGGCCGGTCAAGTGAGCAGGTTAGTAAGTCCCAGATCCGGGAGGAATATTGTGTATTAATCAGACGGACTACACCGTCATGAAGCGTGCACTTTTTTGACCCGAATAAACGTAAAAATCGCTGTAAGGGATTGGGCTGCAGCTATAGGCCTTGTGTTTGCAGGGAGAGCAGAGAAATCATTCTGGTAACGGCTAAATACAGTTCAACATGATGGCGTTTATTTTGTCAAAAACACCCCTTTTTAAGCTGCATGCGTTGTAATCTGTCCAAGCTCAGTAGCTGTCAAGAAAACCAATAGACCAAAGGACACAGTCAGCAAGCTCAACCGGTGATCATGTTTATCCCTCTGGACGAGTGCAAGGCTCAGGAGAGCAAAATCTTTGATCACCATGGTCAGTGCCTCCTGATTTCTTACGGTACCCAATCCCAGCTTTACACGAATCTCTGGCACAAGAGATTTTCAGTAGGGAAAAATCTGGAAAACTGATTTGCCATTCCTGGCCCCCGGCAATGTTGTGGTCGCGCTCTCAGCGCTGCAGCTGGTGTGACAGATCTGGCAGACGGTACGAGCTGGGTATTTCTCGATGCTTGTACATCCCACAGTTTGTTCGGGTCCGAGGCTGAGGTCAACTTCGGTGAGTGGATGATGTATGCCACGCCTGGTATGCTGCTCTGCCTGCTTCTGACCTGGATCTGGCTGCAGATTGTTTACGTGGATCGCTGGTAAGTGCCCCCGAAGACAGTTTTTCTTTGCATGAATTCAACCACTGATATAGAAACATGAAGACACAATTTTTGTTTAAGTTTAGAATTTAACTGGTAATAAACCCCATCCTTTGATCTGAATGTAGTTGCTTCTAATGCAGTCACCATCATTTTTCATTTTCCCAACACACTCGGGCTTTCAATCCATTCTAGACCCAGACCTGCCTGAAGTCTTATTTGGCGACCAAGTTGAAATGTGTAATTGTGATTTTTTCACTCTTGATTGCTTTCTTGCCAGGTGCTGCCGGAAGTTAGGTGGTGAACTCGACCACAAAGGCGCTGCCAAAGTCATCCGTCAGGCGTACAAGGACCTCGGGCCCATGTCGTAAGGAGTTAAACTCCGGTCTTTATAGTCATTTGATTTTCATTTAATAAAGGGTATCAACAACCAACAAGAAATAGTTACTTCAGTGCCCTGTCTTTAACTCCAAACTGAAAGGGAAATATAAGCCTTACGTGTTTACACGTATTCAGCTTTAAGTCAAGCTATTTACGTGCTTCCCCGACGCCGAGTTACCGTCGACCCCTTGAATATTTTTATATATGTCCATTACATGTCCTTTCCTGCCAGGTTTGCCGAGGTGGGTGTTCTGTGCCATTTCGTGCTGCTGATTGTTCTGTGGATCACCCGTGAACCAGGCTTCGTGACCGGATGGTCTGTGCTCTTTCTGGAAGAGTAAGTCAGGACCATTTAGGAAACTTAAGATAGGCTCCGTCTAACACCTCGACATCTGCAGCTTTTCATTATTGCAAAGACTTTACATCAGAATTGCAACAAAAGCAAAAGGAAGCAAATCAGGGGTTGCATTTATTACAACTGGGCCTGCGTCAAGAGACTAAGTCGTAGTTTGGTAAATCCCGTATGTTGCCTAAACTGGTGGAAGATCATACAACACTAAGCTCTCTGAGACACTATCTGAAGCCTTGTTCATACTTGAAGGGAATGCAAAGGTGAAACAAAATTGAAGTCGCGAGACACCTGCTGTTGCACAATCTGCTTGTGTTTAAGCGTGTTCAACTCTTGTAATTTCGCAGCGCGAATTGTTTGATCTGATGTCACATGGGAAGATATCTCGGAAGGTGGAATTCGATCTTCCCTGTTCACTGCCTTTGAACCACTTTTAAATCCCCAGCTATGTGACCGACTCGACTACAGTCTTATTTGTCGCCATCCTGCTTTTCGTGTTCCCGTCACGGATGCCCAAATTCTTGTGCGGCCGGAGCTCCAAAGGTTAGCTACTGTTGAATTTGTCATTCACCATTTGAAAAATTTGTTCGTTCATAGAAGATGTAATCAGACACTGCAATCACTGATAATGACTTGCCTTTAATTTCTGTAGTCGGTTCTTAGACATTCAAATTATTAGTATGAATTAAGCATTCAGAATTAAAGTGACGGTTATTTCATCAAAACGATGGTAACTGAACATTTTATCATATAACATTGCTTGGATTTTTGACATTTTCTGGTAAATTAGATTATCTAATGTCACTTTTGTGTAACGTATGTAGCTGCATTACACAAAAGATGCCTCATTATCAGAATCCAGTATGGGACGGTCAGGTTGTATCGGTCATTGATACTAGCAACTGAGATTTTCCTCCAGCGTGACCCAGGTCCGGATCTGTCCTGGGACTATTCATAAATATAGTTTATAAACTGTTGGCGTTACTCTTGTTTTCTTGCAAGATAACTTCCCGAGACTTTGTACTCACTCCCAGTATGTCATGTTGGTGGATCCATTTCTTTTTGGGCGAACACTTTTGATTTTTTTTTTATATCTGTATGATGCAAATTTTTTTTACGTTTTGTATGACGACACGACAGTTGAATGTTCAGCAATTGTATTTGTCTTTTATTCTTCGCAGAAGATTTGCTGGAAGAAAAAAGTCCCTGCCCGGCCCTTCTTGAATGGCCGGTTATTCATAAAAAGATGGCTTGGCTCGTGGTTATCCTCTTAGGCGGAGGATTTGCACTGGCCGAAGGATGCAAGGTAGAGAGTCACAGTGGCCAGTGGTGATCGGTCACACTGATCGGCAAAGGTCAAATTCATTTTCTGGTTATAGCACTCCAGTATGTATAGTTATACCGATGTGGATGAACCACGGAAATCGACTTTGAACGGTACCTATACGGTGGGCTGTGCCAAGTTTGATGCTCGGTTGCGCAAGTTGTCACCGGTAGCGAGATCTGTCCACGATTAAGTCTCTCTACCTATTCTCAATTTGTGGAATATTTGGAATAAAAACAGGCTGTTGACGCTAGACCTTACTGGCTCTGTATTTTGATCCATTGTCCAACAATTAGGTGTCGGGTCTGTCAGCTTGGATAGGCGACAAGTTCGCTGTATTAGATAGCCTCCCTCCCTTTGCCATCGCGTTGGTGGTGTCCGTCATCATAGCCGGTTTCACCGAGGTCACCAGCAACGTGGCTACGGCAACCATCTTCCTGCCCATACTCGCCAGCCTGGTAAGTTTGGCACCCTGTAAGATTGAACTGGTAGAACGCCTTACGCTAGCGTCTCCTTTTGTGGACGTTCTGAGTGTACGGTTTTTACAAACGGGAACTGATGGACTCTGTGATCGTTCTTGTGCTTATCAAGGGGACGAGTATCGGCGTCAATCCACTCTTCTTGATGCTACCTGCCACCGTGGCCTGCTCCTTCGCCTTCATGCTGCCAGTGGCCACGCCTCCTAATGCCATCGCCTTCGCCTATGAGCAAGTCACTGTCATGGACATGGTAATTATCTCTGGTTGCTACATATTTACGGCCTTAGTACACCGGAAGAGTTCTGTTGAGTCCCAACAATGAAGTAAAGGGGCAACAGGATGGAAGTTTATACACCTATACACACGTGTTATCATTCATGTTCCCGCTTATCGATTGTACATAATCGGAGTGAAATCCATACTCTTTTTATGAGTTCTAATACTGCAGACGTTTCACAGGTGTTCTGCCCTTCTCAGAGAAATGTAAAGTATCACAAATGAACACATCTCTCTAGCAATTCTCTCTCCTTTTAATTCACGTGTTTATATGCTGTACAATAACAGACTTCAGTTGTTCCTTGTGTTGCTTCAATTAACAAAGTATTGTTTCACATTATATGCAAATCAGTGACGTAGAACTCGTGCTCTGGAAAATGTGGGCATGACCGTGGATAGCCTCTCGTTCGTTCATCTTATCATACTGTTAACCTCTCTCCCAGGTGAAGACGGGTTTCATGCTAAACGTTATCTGCGTCTTCGTTGCCAACGCCAGCATCAACACACTGGGCATGTGGATCTTTGATGTGGGCACGTTTCCCGATTGGGCAAAGGTCAACGTTACAGCTGCCTATTAATAACTTCATGGAGTGGGACTCCGCCTGTCGCCATACAGGTTCAGTGACAAAACAGACTGGCAGAGTCCTGACCATGAGCTGATATTTCATAACTATACTTATTAAAAGTTTCATAAGGTGGGGTCTATAAGTTTGACAGGTGAGCAGTGTTGAGCATGCTGCAGATCGTCGTTAAGGACTTGAAAGTCGTGAGAGTGTATTGCACGATACGTACAGGAAATATTCGAGTATTCTTAGGTAAATATCAAACAACGCGCTAAAACATAATACAAAACAAAATAAAAATACAAAAGTCCTGTTAAAGTATACACAAAAGTAGCCATTTCAAATGAAAACCAGCCCTGTACGGATATTGTTGACGGCGAAGAAGATACTTATTACATAAGATGATGTCAGCATCTTGAATTAAAAAAAAATCGCGGTGGGCGCGGGAAATGTTAGAGCAACGCTGAAAGAGCGACTTTTTAAAACTAATTTAAAGATAATGGATGGTCTCCCATATCCATATCTATTCTTTGCTGTATGAAACGGGAGATATATTTTCTCTCTTCACAGAGAGGTTTTTAACGCTGTAGTGTTCTTGAGGATCAGTATGTACAGGTTGAGGCAGCCGACGCACGCCCCATACTTTTTCACCAATATTCTTTTCTTTTTTTGAATTTAAGTTTGACTTCTTTTTTTTCCGTTTCTTCTACGTCAGCTATATATTTAATTACTTTATAAAGGCATGAATGAATATCCAGATGAATAAATAATTTGCTCATCTGTGCTCACAATATATTCGGTTTTCACCCCCAATGTCGACTTTCCCTTTTGTCAATGCCGGAACTCGCTCCCTGACAGCTCGCGTACAGTTTGTATTGTCTGTTTTGGCGGGGGCTGGATAGGCCTATTAAGTGCATTCTCACCGATTCTTAAATATCTTGGACTTTGAAACAGCTTAATTGTGTTGAAAGCCCGATTCTTCGCAAAACAACGCTTTTCCTCGGTAAGAGTTATATGGAGAACATGCTGGTCTACGGCAAGTGCCGTTTGGCAACACGTTATTAGGTGTATTCACGCAAAGACCTTACTCAAAAGTGATGCGCTTTTGCACACATTCAGTTGAAAAATCATTAGCACTGAGAGTGCTTCACAGCGCCATTACTGTTGCTTCAAAATGTTTTTCATATCTGTCTGTGTGTTATCTTCCCCCTTTCACTGAGATCAAGAAGAGGTCTGCGAATTTACGCTAAAAATGTTTAACACACAAGTTATGAAACGGAAATCTTTGAGGCCTTGAACGCAAATTATATTCTTGAAGAAGATTATCGCGTGTTTAAGCCAGTATACCTTCGGTCAGAGTTGTTTCTAAATTCGTCATGTTAGCTAAGACTGTTACAGAGGGTTTGCTGCTCTTGTCCAACTACTTTTTGCAATTGCACTTTTACTTGTGTTAGTACATTCGTGTACTTTAAAAGCCAGTGTCACAGTCTTTTGAACCAAAAGGAAGGTTCTACCACCCTCTGTTGCATATTTAATCTTTACAAGTAACGAAATAATTTTATCAGTCCTGTGCCTGCGATAACTGAGCTCCAATCCACACGGATACATGTGGATAGGTCTTCAGAGACAAAGCTTTTGTTGTAACGTTTCTACCAATAAAGAGCGAACGTAGCAAGTACTGATCAGCGTCTGATATGATTGAGAATTATGCAATTCCTGACAACTACCCTAATTTCCTCCAAAATCTGTCTTCCATAGAGATCATGGAAATCTACCATGCAAATTTCCCGAGTGGTTGGTGCAAAGATTGACAAACGCCACAAACTATATAAGCAACTTTCCTCGCAAGTTCCTGTATTTACACGAACTGAGGTGGTATCTGCTTCATCGACGATGAAACTCTGGTGGCGAAAGACAAGATGAGACATGGAGGTAGAACGTCAGCGCTGGGCTTTCCTTCAGAGAAATTGGTCGCATTAGAGCCAAAATTCCGGTCAAACATAGTATATCATCTCTGGTTTTTCATTAAGCTGCAGTAGTCGCATTTGAACGCTGCGCATCTCGACCACGAGTCTACGAACTTCGTTGTGGAAGCGAGCGCTCTCCCGCCTCTCACTGTTACTGCGGGAACGTCTGGCCGACCCGCAGCCAGTGCGCATGGGGGAATACCGTTTTATTGCGTCGTTCTTAATGCATCGGTTGGGTCCGTCGATGGAGGACACCAGCGTGTGTCGCCGGGGCATGCTGCCGGACGACAGGCTCTTGATTAGGGGCGGGTGTCGCCTCAGCGGCCTGGTCATCACCGGGTTCTCGTGCAAGTGTGGGAGGTAAGGTCTAGTCGGGTTCTGGAGGCACAGCTCGGCGTGCTGCTGCTTGGCTGACCGGGAAGGGGACGGGGTACCAGTAAGCTGGTCCTCGTCACCAACGGAGCTCTGGTTCTCGTTCAGATCGGTCGTGTAGGTGCTCACGCTCCTCGAGTCCAAAGAATGCCGGCCGGAATCGTCCCTCTGCAGCAGGCAATGCAGTTCCACCTCGTGCTCAGCACCTGTCACGTGGTTCTGGTACGGGGGCTTAGCTGGTTCGGTACCCTGTATACTCGTCTCCGGCAGGTGCAGCAGCATGTACATGTCTTTCTGTTGGCAGAGATCCCCAGCCCATTCTCTGCTGCTGTCGCTGCTGTCACCGTCATCCGACCTACTGAGGAGTCTCAGCTGGGCTTCCAACTCAGCAATACGATTATCCAGCTGTCAAGGTAAAAACGCATGCAAATTAATCGCTAAACATTTGTAATGTTAGGATTTAATTGTAAATTCAAGTCAAATGAGCATTTGGAATTGCAATTGGGATGCTCACCTTATTTTTCTCTTTCCTGAAAGCCCTGGCCTGAACCTCGGCCCGGTAGAGGGACTCCTTCATCTCCGTCGTCTCATCTGTCACAAAGCGTCTCGTGCGACCTTTGATCTCTAACCCCACGGATTTCGTCACGGGGTCACTGCCCAACCGCACGGCATGTATGGTGTACACCTGAAAATGAGAAAGGTTTAGTATCAAATAGTCTATCAGTTAAAACAAAATTTGAAGATGTCACTTCAAAGCCATTCTACTATATTACTCCCCAAGACAGGTGAGAATACAGTGATTGAAGTATTAAACAGAAAAAATAATTAAGGTTTCCTTTGAAGCCACTTCAAGGGATAGTGTTAGTTTTTTTCTTAGATCGTCATCTGGCATGCTGGTCGTGACGACGACCACAAACCCCGTCTCACCTTCGGCACAAACAGGAAGCAAAGGGTCATAGTGGTGGTGATGCAGATGCAGACGGTGACTAGAACAAAGGATGTGGTGAGCTGATCACCACGAGTGACGAGGTTAGAAACCACTACGGCAAGAATACTCATTATGGTCACGTTGTACACGCAGACCTACCGACAGATTGAGAGAAGATGACTACAGATGGAGAAAAGGATTTACATTGTTTTGTGATGGGAAAAACTAAGTACTTTGAAATAGTTATGCTGATGTCTATATTTACTGTTAATCAATGGCGTCTTCAATTTGTCGACAATGTTTCCGATGGCGAGAAATCAATTTTTGTTTTTTCAGTTTGAACTGTTTCATTTCTGACTTACTGCTATATAGTGCGAATCGTTCAATGCCGGTATTTTGACTTTCCTCGTCTCCCAGCCAAGAAACAGGCCGAAGAGTAGAAGGAGGCCCTTGTAGGCGTACACCGTGCCCAGCCAGATGCTGAGATTCTCTGACCGGCACACCTCCAAGATCGGCACGAACGCTACGGTGTCGTTTGACGACTGGTAACAAAGGAGAAGACGAAATAAGGGCGTGATAGGATGGCTTGAGTTGCGAGAATCTCCAAGGGCACTTGTGTTGATGTAAAGGACGCCCTCTCATAAGTGACAGCTAAATGTTACACGTAACAATTGATTGTGAAAACCTACTGCATATGCTAGATTCGGTAAGTTCCCCGGATTTTTGAGAGGACGTTTCTTGTCAACTCTATCTTTCCATGAGAAGTCAGTCAAAATGAACGAACTGAGAAAATGAAATGTAACATTTGTTGAATTTTTGTTAAAGTTATACTCGACTAGGTTGGACTTCGTGTTTTTTCTATATTAATAAGATTTCTCTCCCTTGGTCTGGTCAAGAGACCGATAGAACCATATCGGATGGCCAGTTATACATGTCTAGGCAACTTTGTGTAAAAATGGAGGCACCCTTTATGTCAGTGCGAGGGGCACTCCTTAAGCTTAATCGTAGATGTCCTAAGTTCCTTGTCTCTTTTAACCTCCGTTCAAGACCTTGCAGCATATGGCCCCTGCATACCACTTACACACGACCACATCTCCTACACATTATGGCGTTCATCCAATCCTGACGGATGTAACGAAGACTAATGGCACGGATTTGGCTAGAGTACAAGCAAAGAGATGGGAGATATGAAGCGCGAAATGAACCAAAAACGCCCATTATCTTGACGAATTACAGTCACTGTGCCGGCTGTACTTAGGCAACGTTAATCAGTTGACGACGAAGGCATACGGCGAGTTAGTGGCCAAGTGCATGATGTTTTTGTTAACAGTACATGATTAAATATGGGCCCTGATAAAAATCTGTCGCGACGCGCGAGTCCCGGGGGAATTGTTAAAGTAGGTCTATAAGCTCGTTCTGTTTTTCGTAAAATGGTAGGTATCCTCGTCATTGCATTCCATGATATAGGTACTTTGCAGTTCCTTCGTGTGTTGCTTTGCGGACGCTTCGATTTCTTCGTAGAAATTATAAATTGAGATGACATCTTGGGTAGCAAATTTTGTCTAACGTCGAATTACCTCTAAAGGGAGTCGCTCTTCCACTCTGATCATGGGATCGAGGACGCTCCAGAGCGTCAAAATAATGATATCAATGATTAGTAGAACACCAATCATCAGGAACAAAGTTGACTCGTGAAGCATCTGCGAGTGCAAACAATGATGAATATGAACCGTAAAGATGTAACAGCAAGTCAGTGTTCACATACAAATATAATGAATGTTACAGATGCAGGTGTAAAAATGAATTCATCAGATGAAAGATTGGACGTTTTCACTTGATACCGAATAAGATTATTCTTTTCAATGAACAAATCTTAATTCTTTTTTGTAAAATTAAATCCATGCCTAACCGGCATAAACTGTGATTAAATCCGAGCTATAATAAACCAAAGCATCGCTAAGGGTTCAGAAATTCCTGTGACTAATTAAATAGAGCTGTCATGACCGTGGAAAAAACACTGCAGCATTGCGGTGCATGCTTGTGACGAATAATTCGATGACAAGTAAGGGAGGACCCATTTGTCAGATGACAGGGAAATTTTCTGACGTTGTCGAATACAATGTATCCCCAGTAAGCCTCCGTGTAGTTTAGCACTAGCCTTTCAAAATTATCTGCTGCTGATTAAGGTAATATCCTTAAAAAGACGTATCCTTAACGACGTACCTTTCGTTTAATGACGCGGCTAGTAGCATGGGTAATTATGTGATATACCCGATACGTCTTCACGAACATGGAACCAAACGCAAAGGAGAAACCAACCATCAGGAACGCGGCACGGATCTGGGGAAATGACAGATTAGTGTTATTTTCAAGAAATGCAGTAGAGCAGTTCTGTAAGCGGTTGATTCAATCCATCTTTGATGGGGCACAGTGCAACCAGCACCATTACAGAGGTTGTTGCGTATTGCCAATGGGCACTTTTGATGGGCTGAGCGCACCCGCTCAATCATGAAATGCTCGAAAAAGAGAAAAGATGTATCATTATTGAAATGACGAGTTCTTATTTGATGATAGGGATGGCGGTAGGAATACAATGGATTTCCGTGGTGTGCATGGTACCCACCGTGCACATCGGACTGTAGGCCTCTATTCCAACTCTCTCCGACTCTAGGCCCAACATGATGACCGCACAGTACACCATGATGCAGCCCACTATTGTGATGTTGTTAAGGTTAGGGCTGGACAGCTTGATGAATCTTCACAAGAAGATAAAAGACAGTAAATACAATAATTTCATATTTTTCTTTGATTTTTCCATTGCTAACTCTTTGTATAGTCGCTAACAACTTTAAATTAAATTATATGCGTCATCGCCACTCGGCATAATGTTCATATTTCATCATGATAATGTTAAAACATGATACATACAAATAGTTTTTATACCACAGCATCAATTCAAGGTTTTCCCAAACATTTCAAAACTTTCCAATTACAAAATGTTTCTTACTTCGTTTTCCGGTATCTAATATTAAAGAGTAGAAACATAACGGCAAGTAGCATGCCACACGCTGCCAGCGCCGTGGTGGTGATATACGCAGCGAAGTTTATTCGAAGTCTCTGGTCAAAGACGAGTAACTTATCCACAGGGACAGTCCCTCCTAGAATGAACAAATACGAGGCGTAAGGTTTGCAGGAAGAGTTGTGTGGTATATGTGGACTTAACCTTAAGTGCCGGTTGAAAGAATCTAGGTTTCCACTCGCGTAGTTTGACCTTCCAGCTGGCAAAAAATACTGAAAAACACAAATTGCGTAATACTGATGCCACACAAATTTGTCTTGACCATAACGTAAGAATTTGATACAACGATTAAATATTAAGTTTTAATTGACGACTAAATAATTTTCTTTCAACAATCAAATGTACAGCAGTGTCCCTTGAAAAGGTGTCGTGCATGTTTTTCATTCGAAAACTCCTTGGAGATCCACTCCTGTCATTTCGGACCGAAGGCAGCATACCGCGCATGCACGGTCCCTGCTCTCTGTCGGGAAGCGCATTCCGATATCGAATTAAAACCGGTATTTTCCATCTTCTTTTCCCTTGTTGAGTCATTTTTTTGCCCGGCCTAATCCTGATGAGATTTTTTTCTATACGTCTGGTTCATCCTCCCCAGTCATTCATGCATTCTGGAGGACGCTACTCGAGATGGTGATGAGTTAGGGGAAAGATGGATCTTGTCAGGGAGAAGACCGGGACGGTGACTGTGCTTCTTTTTAATTTGGAGACAAGCCTGTGCAGTTGAAGCCTTCACAGTGACGAAAATCAAATAGCTGTTTCTGTTTGCTCTCATTTTCGATTAACTACTTGCTTGTACATCCTTCGTTTACAAAGAACATTTGATTTGGGTTCTTTCCCACGTTTCGTGTAGTCTGCTTTCTTAGCGGAATATTCCAAATCACGTTTTGAATCACCTTGGTTTTTTTTAAATTTTAAAGAGTAATATAAACGCGCAGCGTTTGTAAGATAAAATGACGAGGCACAACACGTCTTATTTTGAATGTTAACATGATTGTGTTCCTTTGACAGTTGAAAAAATGTAAAGAAATTCCGAAGGAGCTTTTATGGTACGAGCCATCTCGTTATCTGCTTGCACAAGGCAATTGACAGTCTTTCCCACGATACATATCTTTTCCTGACAAGGTATCCACGAATTGCGGTGTCTGGGAATGCCCTACTTTGAAGCTGATGTGCCCCAAAGCCGGGTTCACTATACTCTGTGTTCACCCAAATAGGTCAGCTTCCGCCTTCCTTTGTGAGCGGGATGGGGGATTGGCCCCATAGTTTTTGTGCAGAGCAATAAAATCCTTCCATTTGTGTCGATTTTTTACCGAGACTTGCTGCCATCTATAGAGCGAGGTCCTGTCACCCGAGTGATGCACTTTTAGCAGATATTCCCCGTGGTGTGAAGCCGGCAAAGTCACAAGGAGAAAAGATGTTATTTTTGAAAACGGAGCATTCCTTGCAATATTTGCCTAAGCAAGCAGATAATAACGCTAAATGCATGCGCCCAGAGACCCTTGAGTGACCAGACACGTCATGCGATACCTGCTTTCATGCGGCAATAACAAACCCGTCACTAATTCATTCTGGTGCTCAGGGTTCTGTCTTGGGTGCTCACAAAAATGGGTTTTTGGTTTCTCTTGCCCCCTTTGATCCGTTTTCCAGAGCTCCTCACAACGGCCAGAGACTGCATTGCTTGAGTTACGCGACCAAATTATCAGTGTCGACAGTTTCATCGCTGACCCGTGAGTGCTCCGTCGGGGATTTGCGCGGGAGAAATGCTATATTAAACATCAATGCTGTGAAATGACTGGATGCACAAAGCTTGTTGGCGGATCTTTTGATAAGAGGCGCGTATGCTTTAATAAAGTGGTTGAACTAAGCCTTTTCACTGTGACAGCATTTGGACTCAACCCGATTAACCAAGGTTGCAAGAAAATACTAAAACAGAGAAGTTGTATTTCATCCCACGTGGGTTTTCATTACTTTTGTACTTTGCACTCTAGGTTTGTGTAACATCAACGACCCAAAGGCTGTTGGGTACTTAGGTATCGATGCATGAAAAATAATTCACACGAAGTTTTTAAGGACAGATACACGCTCCACGCAATGTATGCAATGCGTTTTGCAGTACGATACATCTATAGTGATTATTTTCACGTAGTCGCAGATGGTTTTGTGTCCCTTTTTCAATTAATAACATGTCTCCCTGCATTATAAACGTCTCTATGTGATTTTTGCGAAGCACGCTTTTACAGTGAGTTGTCTGCAGAAATTTCAACTGCCAGTCATTCTCTCAATGCACACGGCGGATCGATTTCATTCTATAGACAAACCACACCGGGCTAACACCGGCACAACACTGAACCACCTGCGCAAATATACACATAAAGCTAAAAAAAATCTCATGAAAGGTCGGACAGTTTCTTTCAAGCCAAACCTCTGGTAGGCCAAACTAGCGGCCGAACCCTCAACCACCTGGACGATATGCGTTTGCACCTCTATCGAACGATTGCATATTCCATGGGACCTCTGTAAGTAATAACAAATCAGTCAAATTGCGCACCCATTTTATGACAAATATTTGATAAATTATCAGTGTGTCTCATGTATATCTGTTTAGAAACAGTAAGTACCCTTGGCTGAAATGTTTAGTTTGTGTTCAACCTCGTGCATGCTAGTAAAGCTCTTGAGCAAGGCATTAAGGTGTACAAATTTTCGTTTTGTTCACACACACAACGACGACGACGTGAAACTTTGCGCATGGCGATCGTTGGCACTAATTTAAACTCTGCATGGCAGGTGTGACAGTCATGCTCTGTGTGTGACAAAAATCTTACCCTCCCATTGGATAGGCGTCAAATCCTGTCCCTCCAAAACGAGGCGTCTCTCTTCGGGGAAAAATAGCGCCACCAACCTCATTACACCACCTGGAATGAGCGAAAGGCATATTAAGGGCGGGGCTTCAAGTTGACAGCAGGGCGGTCCCAGGCCAAGGGCTAACTTGGACCCAAAGGAAGACAGTTGTTTAGGTCAAAAGTGAAGAAATACAGACACACACACAAAAAAAGCAAAACAAAACTACCCCAACAACCCAACAAACAAATGAACAACCCAACAAACCAACCAACCGACCGAACGACCGACCGAACGAACGAACGAACGAACGAACAAACGAACAAACAAACAACAAAACATTTCATTTCCAACGTTTCATTTCAATCTTAAGTTTGATGGTGCAACCATTAGGAAACGAGTGTACTACGTATTGAATTAATTTTTAACATTAAGTACACAAAATGTAGTAAGTGGAAAGGTTTGCGGTAGCACCATGCGAAGGAATATATCTCTCATGAGTATGTGTGGTTCTGAAAAGAACCGGGAGTATACTCTGGGTCTTTAACCACGATTAGCCTGAAATTTCATCTACAAAAATGTCTCATGTCTTTGTTTTTTATATTGATGCCCGTTATAAAGGCCTCAGTACATCCTCCCCTACCCACCCGTAAACTGGGCGGTTTAACCCGTAATAAAAGACGATTCACCTTGATTCTGCCGATATGTCGTCACTCCGTAACGGTCCGGCCCCTTGAATCTGATTGGTCCCTATGAGAAGCAATACCATAGTTATCACACAATTCCATGTGAATGAAAGAAATTATAATTTCCGTCCCATCACTGGAAAAAGGTCATTTTATTCATTACCAGTACCCTGTGAGATATGAGATAATTAATTTCGGTGAATTATATTTCTCCAACATTACCGACACTCCTATAAATCGTATATCGGACACGATGTCCGCGTAGAGATCCCTCATTGGCCTGTTGTCATAAGTGAAGCCAGTCCCCCAGCGGCTCGCGTTGGCAATACTCGTGCTCTGATTGGCCACCTCCGTCCTGTTCAAATGATGCATGGCGGACTTGATGGTAAGAGCCATGGTCCAGATAGCGTCGTACGTGTTAGGGGCCTGGCTACCAGCGGAACGCACACCCCTCTTCAGCATCTCCACCTCAAAGGCGTGCGATGTCTGATGATAAAGGATAGATGTTTCTTGTTAGAAATGCATTTTATGATTTTACTTGGTTGCTTCAAAATGGAGCATTAGAATACAATAGAATATAATTGAAAAAAAGCGTCGAATATTAACAGCAGAAACTGAGTTTTTAAACCCGCCGGTGACAGTGCACCGTGGGTCATTGCAGCCGCATAGAATGCCGGGGCTAAACTTAATCCAACCATTCAACAGTGCTCAAGACGGCATCAAGCATGCCTTTTCTCCCCCTACTGAAGTGGCTCTCGTGACATCTCGTGTTTAGATGAATGATTCATTCGCGGGCGAGCTCCAAATTAGCGTGGGAAGTGCCGAAATGCCCGTCTGAAAACATAACGGGCGCGCCGTGTTACGCACCTGAATGCCATAGGGGGAAGAGCTTTTTACATGTCTAAACCTCCCACATAATGCAAGCATAGAGTGGCAAAGGCTATATGGCCGTATTTTCACGTTTGGGCTGAAAACTAATGAATGGCATTGCAGGAGTTTTGTAAAAGAGGCGAGGCACTTATTCTGTTTCAGGCGACATGTAGTGATTTATTACTGTGATTTTTTTCTTTACTGCGAGCCATTTATTGAATAATCGAGGTACAGCTGTAATGGATATCGTCTGTGCCTGGAGAAATGTGTTAAAAACCAGACCAGATGTACAAGAAACTAGGGAAATTTGATTTAAAAACTGGTTGAAAAACCGAATACTCCACAGTCCTCAGGGGAAATATAAGAACTGATCGTACCGTACCCAGGTTTGTAGCTCTAAGATAAATACCCAAGTGTCGATTCCTGTATCGATTCCAGGTATATTAAACCAACATGCGATCGGAATCGATTTTTTTTCGAAACTCTGAGAAGTTGAAGTGTTTGTACTAGTAACTCGAGATATTGGTGCTCTTGACACCTGCAAAGCGGGATTACAGTAATTGCTGTATATTAAGTGAGCTACGTATCGATAGTATACATAAAAGTCTGCCGTCTGCATTTCAGATGTCCACTGCCATCGCTTTCGGTTATTTTTGCTCTTTTCCTCATTTCTCTGTCGCTCTCATTAGTTCTTCTGTTTCCATCAGGTTCACCCACATACAAGCAAGAAGACTTCCAGGAGCAAGGGTATTGAAACAGAAGCAGAAGCGGGATGAACTCACAAGTCCCGAGATGGAACTTCGGTTGTCAATATTGATATCAAGGCTGTCGATGGCAAAGTAGCCCTCCGCCACTTCGGCTAAGTCCTCCGCAGAGCAATCCGTGTCCGCTTCGGCCCGCCACCACTCCCTCTGGAACCAGCCCGGCAAAATCCACACGTACTTGGGCCCGTACATGTTGATTTTGTGAGCCTAGTCGGAAACAGACAGGAAATTGAGGAGCAAAACTAATTAAATGGTCTTTTTTTAAACAGATATCTAGTGCAACGAAAGTTCCTCGGCAGCACCAATACGATGTTAGTTTGTCAAAAATTTAGCTCTTATCAAGGAAATATATTGATTCCCCATACCACTCACAAACCTGACCATAAACTACAGGGACAGAGTCTCTCACCTCACAGAAGACAGCTCTTGCCGTTCTTTCTTGAAAGCTACCTATGATTATGCGTGCATCTTGTTCCTTTAAAGACAAAACACGATTTGAAAAGTGAAACTAATGCCTTTTATAGGTTAACATTTGATGTAAAATGCGTGTAATCAGGAAGTTCTGTCATGCTTACTTTATGAGCGGTATGCTCCAAACCACTCCCATCTACCATTCTGATCTAGAAGTTCGTTGCCACTAACTTCATCGATGCACTCTATATGTCAACCTACCAACTCACAACTCGTAATGATGTAGACAAAATCGAATTGCCGGTACTTTTGCTTGTTCCATCCATCATTCACAAAAGAAAACCCCGCTTTTCTTGCAATTCAACCTGTGAACGCAAGGTAAATCTATGTGGGGTACATGTTGCTTGTGGAAATCATGTGAATACTGCAACTTCCAATTTTTTTTTCAAAATGATGGATACCTCCATTTTAACAAAAAGCGGGCCAAAATTCAACCCAATTAAGAACAACCGAAGGAAATGTGTGCTTTCCATTCACACTCGGCTTCCTCATAGCGCAGACGTGATTTGTTCCTCCGTTAAGCACCGCTGACAACGTCTGGACGGGCCTTACGGCACGAGCCTCACTCCGCAACACAAGAAAACAAGGCGGATGACGCTCCATTGAGGGACAGGGGATTTCGTGCCGATACCAGGCAACCCTCGACACCGCGCTAGAGGTTTTTTCTAGAAACACGGTAGCTCCTTATCGGGTAATTGCTGCCGTTTGATTATTGCCTAGGTGATGAGGGAGCCGTCGCCTCCCTCTGCGACTCCTTCTGCTACTTCGCTGGTACCTGGCGATGACAACTTCCGATAAATTGTGCTAAAGTCCACGTTAACGTTAATGCGTGCACGTTGTAGTGTTAGATAATGATTTTTCCCATTTTCAACGTCATCTTCCAAAACAAACACTAATAGCACCATCTAATGTGACCGAATGTCTTCATTGCTTGAAAGGATATCTGGAGTATGGAATAAAACGAAGCACATCAGCCTTAGATAATAACTACACATAACCTTATATAGATTTAGGTGGTAGATCTGATCTATTTTCAAGTACGCAAGAAAAATTACCCTAGATTTCTGATTCATTCTTCATATTAATGTGCATGATACTTTCCGGGCATTCATTTCATTAATTTAGTCCAAAGTGATACGTAGATCATTCTTACATTGTATACGATTATCCCTGCACGCCTGTCCGGTTGTATTTTCAAGGGAGTGGCATGTTTGCTTCGTTTCCAGCTCATGTTCCGTAAAAATGCGTAGCAAAGTTTGAGAACCAGTGCACTGCCACGAATATGATACGCTCCAACCACTGAGATCCGTCAAGAGACGGTATCCGCCCTCCCAGGGCAGTGCATCGTGGTATCTAGGAAACCCTGCACCTCACCTGGAGTTGCTGCATCTTGGCTGCGAGGTCGTCCTCTGTGTTGAGTGAGGCCGAGATCGTAATGTTGCTCGACGATTGCAGGTAGCGTGTCAGATCGGAGAGTGCCTTCAGGGAACAAATCATAAACTTTACGAATAAAAAAAAAAAGAAATACGCCATACGTTCTGCAAATGACGGAACATCACGAACCCCCGCACAACCCCTTAAACAATGGCTTCTTTCTGTAAAATTTGATATTTGCACACCGGTAGCAAATAGGTCATAGCTATATGCACGGCCACAGACGTGGTCGTGCTTGGTGAATATAGCGGATGCCCCTAAGCACATTTGAGAATACTACCCAAGCTTCGTGTGTATATATTTGCAGTCTTTCTCATTTCTGAATGTCGGCAGGTATAGTGCCGTCTTAGAGGAAAAGCCAGGGCCTCTTTCAGTCGTAAGTCGCCCACGAGTAGTACTTATTCGAACAGCCGAGCATTTTGATTTAACTGAGCCAAAAATGCTTACATTATACGAATTAATATTTGAGATTCATGGATTATCTGATACAAATACAGATACAAATGTATTCTTCGTAGCTGCCTGATCGTCGTCGCGATAGTAGCATAGCAAGTTGAATTTGTCAAACCCTGTGGTTTGCCACCTTAATAACACTGCAAGATCGAGTTGCCTACGGAAAAGCGAAAACTCAACTTTTTTTTCTTCTTATATGCTTGAATCAACATACCCTAGCATTCCATATGCCAAATAACGAAATGTCACATTTTAATTTTTATCTTATTCTGTATTGGGAATCAGATTTGAGATATTTACGAATAAACTGATCATAAAATGCATAACTCATTGAGATTTTTGTTGGGACTAGACTGACACTTTTCTGGAAAAACAGGCATTAATTATGGAAATATGGACACATTTTAAAACATCTAGGAGCAATCGCGTAATCTATCATTGAGCGAAGTAACGTAACCACTTCATTAAGGGCTACATATATGTTTTCAATCCCTCATTAATGTGTGTACGAAATCCCATCAACAGTACATACTTCACACGGGCAATTTGAAGCAGTAGGCTCAAGTGAGACAAATGGCGTGTGCGTGCACATTCCGGCGGCGCACGCTCGCCAAAGGCCTACGCAAACCCAACCCACACAACACTCTGCAAAGGTATGACTTACCGAGATGATTCCCACGTTTTGAAGCCTCCCCAGGGCACACGATAGGAGATAGGGTGATATTTTGATTGTCATTTTCACACCAAATGCTGTGATCCCTGGCATTGATTGAGGTTCTGAAAAGTGGACAAGCTTGTCCCGGTTTATTTTGGGGTCGGGAAACCACAAATGAGACCTCACACGCCGGGCAGCTCATGCCTTCTCGCGTCATTTTTTGCCTTTATTTCTCATATGGCGGAATCCAGATGGAAACCATCAATGCTTGAAGCAAATAACGACTCCTTAGAAACGCAATCCACTTTGCAATTTAATGTAAGTTTTCCCCTTTGTTAGTCTTTGTATTATTTTAGTTAGTGACGAGCACCCTCCTTCAAACAAAAATATACAGTGTATAATGCACCATTCGGCCATTTGTGCTTGTCTTGACTTTAATATGGACATTTTGGCTTTTCAAAGATCGCTTTTACAGCTTAACGTGATCTTGTCTTGATATTTGAATTTTAAACAGACTAACTAAAAGGTAATGAGCCTTTATCGTTTAATATGACGATATCAAAATGAATTTTACCAGATTGTTGAAGGGGGCGGCCGAATTTAGCCAAGTTAGAAACAGTATACAATCAATATTTGAAATGTGTTTTCTAACTGGCCATACCGGGGTACCTTTTTTCATGAATTAGACTCGTATCGTCCCCCACCTTAAGGTTACTTCAATTTGATCTACATCTTGGTTTCTTTCGAAGTACTTTCACAATTACCTGATGCAAAGGAGAAAGTCCGAGCAAAACCCACAGATGCTTTGGTGGGTTTTGAGTTAAAACCATACCAAGCGGAACATACGCTGTGCCTGCTCAGAAGCAATCGAGCCAACACCTGGCTTGAGACTTTCCGATCCAAATCCATTATATCAGAGTGAGAATGTGCTATTGTCACAACGTAGACTCGATGGACGGCAATCAGGTTTTGAATGAGTGATCCACGACTACCCAAATCAAATGATGTAACACCACAGAACACCTGGTCAGGTTGATGTGGATTTAGAATGAAAACAAATATGAGTCCCTGTGGTTTTCCACCAGTTATTGTATAGGCCTATATCAACTAAGAAATCTAATATAAATAATAAAAAATAGTGCTTATTCACATGTTCCTTTTTCTCCTGCCTATCTAAAGGAGCGTACACTTTTTAGTCGGACCTCTTAAAGAGGAGATCGGTGACGTTTCACTTTAGGTACGGATGTGACGCATCCAATGACATATGAAAAAAAGGAATACAATTCTTTAGCGGCGCGTTATGGGTCTGTATACCGTTGGCTTAATTAATGAAATAAAGGCGTACCTATCGTGGTGCTTGCGCCCCACACGTCAAGACTTGTTCCAAGGGAATAAGAAAAATGAAAAAGACTGCTAACGCTAGCCTAAATCAGAATTCACTCTCAATACATGTAGTTGAAAAATTAGACGATGTCCGTTTGTGCTACCAGACAAATGCAACTTATACGCCACTCGTTATTGAATTTTGCCTCGCGCTCGCGAAATTGGGTCACATCGACAAAAACGAAACCAACACTGACTGACGAAAAAAGCAGCGGGAAATTAAAGACCTAGTGAACGATAACAACAAGTTGACTATCATGCACGGCCGCAGGGCAAAATGGAGCGCAATTTCATTCTAAACTCGGATCAGTCGTTGTATCGGATGGCTTACCAACTTTGGCCCAGCGCCCGGCGGGTACAAAGGAAAAAAGAAAGGAAGCCGGGATGAAAGATTGTCCTCCTCTTCAGGACTTGGAGGAGGGAACTGTATGATGCGGGATGTAGGCTAATAGATGCCCTCAGTGCCTCCCTAGGCCCGGAGTAAAGGTTAAGACGTAATGCATGGACTGATATTACTACGATATAGGGCTCACAGACAATACGTTTCCGTTTATGTGAGAAATGGGGCCACCCATCGGATGCCGGTTGCTATCTGCGGGCAACTTTAGAACGACTTGGGGACTGCTTCCTCGCTTCGTAGCAGCAAACATGTTGTCTTCTCCGCTGAGTATAATGAGCAAGATCTCTAATAAACACAAACGGTACAAAGAAGTCATTTATCTGAACTCTGCGTGAACAAGGCAGCAGCTCATTTTTGCTAAATGGTTTTCAGTTTCATCGGAACGTTAACGCAGCCGAGAAAAATAAGAACTTAAGTTAGGATATTAAATATGAAAACAAGGATACCGTTTATCTGTGGTAACCATGGCATACACGATATGAAACAGCCAGACGATCACGTGGTTGAGCAATATATAAGTTTCTCCATAGCTGGAAAAGCCCTTGTGTTGTTTTCACGCATTAGAAAACATCACTGACGTTAGAGCTTTTCCCGCCAAGATTAATGCCGTTCGTGAGGCGATCAATCAAACTATCCGCGGTGGGGGCCGGGGTGATGTAGAGGACTATAAAAAGCGGCACGATTATAAATTGCGCTGGAACGGTTGAGAGGGCTTGTGGAATTGGCTAAAATGCTTGCTCAGTCTCCGCGGAATATCCTGACCCTCACATAAACACTTGGTGAATTTGTCCAGATACTGATATAAGCAGTCGCCTCTCTGCATTAACGAGAGGAAAGCTCGTGAAGATATGACTGGCGCCGCGCTGAACAAACCCTCGGTCTCTTTGTCAAGTTTGCCTGAGTTGGTATCCGACCAGTCAGTGCTTGAGTTCAGTTCGCATCTTTTTCAGTTCGTTTTATTTCGAAACAGTTCGAGTAGTCGATGGAATGGTACGCACTTTACGTCCAAGTAGTACAAATAAAATTCCTTGAATAACTTCCAGACATCTGTTTTGCTGAATACTATCATGTGAACCTTCCCATATCCGACAATATCACTGTCTTCCCGGGCTTTCTTACTCACCAATGAGAACATCTCCTCCTCTTCTATCAGACTAGCAATCTCGTACCATCCAAAGTACTCCATGAAGGCCGCCTTGGCTGCATTGTGGGAAGAATCGGGGGACACCGTCCTAAAGAAAGTCGGGTAAAACTCCCTGTCGGTGAGCGTCACTGATGTTGCGCCATAAGATACCTATATGCACGTTAAAATTGGATCAGCAGCTTTAAAAGAACATTACATTATTGTACACAGCCAACACAGTATAAGATCAGTAGATCCCATCCAAGGCAGCTTTTCAAAAGTTTGCAAATTTACCTTCCGACTATGGTATGAGCCCCAAAGGTCGATACAGAAATTGCTCTAAAGCAAATTGTCGAGTGTCGCGCATTAAAGGAGCTCTTACAATTTCTTGTATTAATACATTATCGGTTGTTAATAAAATCCAGCCAGTTTAGCCCAAGCACGTGGGCAGGATTTCGCCGCGTTCTTGTGTTATGCGCCTTGCCCGGCCTACATAACGATTACCCCACGGCATCCCACCATGCTGCACGCGTAGTTCATGTGCACGTGCCAGATGGATGATATTTTGAAAGACGCGGGGTGCACGTTACGTGAACCAATTTCTATCAGAAAGACACGGCTGGGTGCACGGCGCGCATGGGCATCCCCGCACGTGTGACACGTAACATCAGATTAAAGACAGCACGAATTGAAGCAGGGCAAATGCAACATGAGCAGGCGTATTGCTTGAGATGACCATCCTGACAAAAAGCATCAAGATCATGTAAGTTACTTTGAGGGAAACTGACAACACCTTTTTAAAAGAAGGCAAAGTTTGTTGAACAGGGTTCATTTGAAGTGGGTCAATATATCAACTGACCAGACTTATGCACAAACTTTTTTTGTCAAGCATTGGTCTCATTATCATCAAAATTAACCAACAGCGGGTGTAAAGTAATAATATCAATTTCTTTGATGTCTATTACGATGTTTTAGGACAATATTGGGGGACGAGTGACTTACTGAGATTTCCCAGCCATTCAAAAGTGAACAACAAAGCCTAGGCACAAAATGTGTCTGACACAAAATCATGAAGATAAGGTGGAAAAGTGAGATGCCGTGTGAAATGTCCTTTTTCACTTTGAACATCTCTAGAAATGATAAGATTGCTATGTGAATTTATAGCAATAAGAATGGTGATAATTTTTCAAACTGCAAGCACGTAAGAGGTGATACGTTCGAAGAAAGCCCATTGGGCCGGCGATTGCGTGAAACTCGTACGCCCTGTCCATTTTATTGAATACAACAGGTGACAGCAGAATTAAACACTGGGAGGGAAAGAATGCCAGTTGATAGGGGGATAACGAGTACGGCCGTGTTGCTTGATGGGATGAGACACTTTGCCGGCCGATTACCTTCAGAATATGCACCAGCGGAAAGTTATTGCCGCCTCAATACAACACGACACACAAGCACTCCAATTCTTCACCGATGGGAAGATCGTATCCAATTAGCTCATTGAGATCGCCCAACGCGGAAATCGTTTCTGAGTGAATGAAGTTGTTTCTGGATCGCTGGATACGATAAGACATTGGGCGCAATGAAGCGTAGATTAGACCAAACAGAGTTTGACAATGATGGAATATGTCACACGAATTATTTACTAGACAATGATAATGGATCGGGATTAAAAGCGTCTGGCAAACACCATGCGGTAAATTTCGGTGCCGAGCGCACATAAGGTCATTACTGGGCATTCGCTTTTTTTTCATCGAAATTGTTACAGTTGGCCATGTTGTAAAAGAACACACCCACTTCCCCAAAGTACAAATTCATGAATATATGGGAGAACTCTTTGCCTTCCTATTGCTAGTCCAAACATTTAAATTCTGCACTTCATAAGTCCCCTTTCCAGCGACTCTATTGGTACGACTGATACCCAAGTTGATGGCTTCGTTTTCAGCGGTTGATTATTCTTCTCAGCGCATTGATTTCAGTGCCCATAGCAGCATGTATCATTAAATCATGCTATTGGTTTCTCCGTCTGGTTTAATTTGTGTCTTAATATCGGTCATTAAACTGTCGGGTTTGTGAACCTTAAAAGTTCTTTTTAACATGTTCCCAAACGGGCCTTCACTCTGACCATGCATGTGTGGTCAGATCTCGGCATTCCCCCATCCGACTTATATTTGTCAGCACTTACCATGACGAGGTTCCAGTAGGGTACGATCTGCGCGATGTGTTTGGACACCTCGGAGCATTGGCTGCCCAGCAGCATGGTCATCTGGGGCTTACGATAGAGCTGATCGAAGAGGGCGTCTGCGGCTATCCCGGGATGGCACTGCAAAGAGGACAGCAAAATGGACTAGGCATAGAGAAATGACTGAACTATCGCACATCAGGCAAAGTGAGAGCACTGGTGACCCTCCGTCCGTGGTAGCAGACCGAGAATATCTCTGGTCAAGACCGCCCCGGTAGTCTGGTTCACGGAGGTGCTAGGGACGTGTAACCCTGCTTCGCATGCACCGTTGATACCCAAGAAGTAGGGCATATCTAGAGAGGGTCATTATCGAAAGGTCTACTGGTAACCTGCTGTTTTGGGCATGGCTAAAATGCTTGGCAGGTGGAATTTATTTCATATTTCTGTATATAAACGTACATTAGCAATAATTATTTGTCTATACCAGCAATGGCCAAAGAGATCTTTATAATAGACATTTACTGACACTTTTTACAACGAACATCTTTTATCGGATATAATGTGACAATGTAAATGAATGTTCTTAAAACCAATATAGGCCTATATAGGCCTATTAGTCGTTCGAAATGTTAGCAGTTCTAGTTTTTCCAGAGTTATAATTTTGATTTACCGAGTTTGCAACCTCTTCTCCTAAAGTTTGTTGTTGCCTCTGTTTGCTTAATTGCACATTTCTGTCTTCCAATTGTGAACGAAAAACACGGCAGAAAAAAACCAAAATTGTCGGGGGAATAGTTCGAATGGATTAGAGTCGAAATTGTGACGATTAACGGCAGCGTCTCAATCTGCTGCTGCCAGCTACCAGTAATATTCAATAAAAAATAGCTCGTGAGCGATACGCTATGTCAACTCCAATCATCGGTTACCGAGTTCTGATGAGCGGAGGTATCCCCGACAATGTCGGACCAAAGTGCTCTTTTAGGATTAGAAAGATTGATTGTAGCTTTTCGATGAATTACCTCTCTGAAATTTGAAGAAATATTGGCCAGGCACACAAGAAGTGTCACACTATAACGGTCAGCTCTCTACACGCCCATCAAGGAAAAATACCCCCCCAAAGGCACGCCTCATTAACCAAAGTTATCTCTGTGTTTTCGACCAGGCGATAAAATTGTTCTCAGTTTTATTCGTCTGAACGAGCAGTGCCTATATTTGCACAGATGATCACCCGCTGGGATTAGCCTCTTGGTCCCAAGCTGCGCGCCGAGGTAGCAGAGCGGTAAATGGGTAAATGGGAACCGGCTAATGTGCTGCTCGTCTCGACGGGATATCTGGCCTTGCCTGGACTGGTATAGTTGTCGCTGGAGTGTGCATCTGTGCCGCATAGCCAAGCGTGAGGTACTGAAATGATATGAGATTTATCTACTGACGATAGCAAAATGCACTGTCGTGCTACATATAAAGGTTGTGTCAACTTTCGAATCTTGTGAACGCTTAATGGTCGAAGCATATTGCCAGTCTTCAACTCAACAGTATTTTCTCTCTGTTGTAACTGAAAAAGGATAAGCTTAGATTATGCAAGTTAAACCTCGTGTTATTGTACACAAATTTGGGGCTTCATTTCTCATTGTAAGACCCACTTGAATCTCCGTGACTAATTATGTGTGTTTAGTCCATGGAATTTCGAGGAGAAAATGTTCGATTACAGGAAAGAAGTATACAGGTCTTAGCCGTATATAGGTCTTAAAATGTGCCCCGTTGCAATGATTAACCAAATAATGTCATGCATGGATGTTTACGAAAAGTGGGTAACTCACTTACGGTTTCAAAATAGCCGTGCATAGCATCCAAATGTAATTATACTTACCTACATTTCCGGTGCATATTACTTATTGCAAACAAAGACAAATCTAACGCACCACACACACAGCGTGCTATCTTTGGGGCTCGAGTGCAGGCAGTTAACGTCACCAAACTGCCAAAGCTCATCCGACTCTCATTCCTCACATCTACTATATTTGTTATTGGCGTTAAAGCCGGTTCATACTTCACGCGAAAGCGAACACAAACGCGGATTTGTGACGTCAGATCAAATATTTGCGCTGCAAATTTGCAAAAGTTGAACACATTTCAACTCGAGCGAAATTTCTTTGCAAATCGTTTTGACATAAAATCCGCTTCGCTTTCACGTTTGCCTGTAGTATGAACCGGCCTTTACACTGTATTTCATCTGATAGAATTACTTTTCCAAAAGCCAACATTTTCAAAATCCTGGCATCAAGGGATTTAATCCACGTGGTTAGGTCGGTCGAATGTCAGGAAACTCTATGGTAAAATAATTCTAATGGACGTGTCTATTAATTACGTTTGCCTTCACTGGTACTTGGGCATTACTGCGTGCCGCATTCGCAGGTCCCCTAAAAAGACAGGTGATTGTGAAAGATTGAAAGTGCAGTATCATTTGCCGATCTTAAATAAAATTATACTTGACTTACAATCACATCAGATCGCGTTCTTTGCCATAATATTTACAAATTCTCAAAAACATGAATTGAAATCTGCAAAGGACAAGGAAGCCATTCTCCTAAGATAGAGTTGTTTTCACTTTCCAACAGTGACTTCGTTTCCTTCCTGGCATAATGATATTTTGCCACATAGATTACGTTTACATTGCTCAGAATGATTTCAAGTGGGTTTATCATCATGCTCGTCTAAATGAGTGAGAAATGGATTTGAAATCAAGTTGAACTGAGAATGGAAACGTCATTCCCATAACTTAGAAGTAAAAAAAAATCCGACAGTACAGTAGATTTTGAGACGCTTTCAATTATTGAAACACAGCGATTGATTATTCTTGAAACGGATGGAAATCTTTGGAGACATATTTTATATTTTGAAATGGTGCACCAATTACTTGAACCAAGCAAATTGTACGCCATATTTAAATTCCTCAAACGGTTGCATAAGATCACAAGCCGATCAGGACATTCCAAAAATTGACAGTGGGAATTTGGTGAAGGAAAAAATGGAGAGCTGCTGGCTGCGATCTTTGTTAGCTATCCATGGTAGAAGCGCATCTGTCAATTGTCGTAGAGTCCGCATTTTCACAAGGCCAAGCCAATCCGATCCGATTACCACGCGTATATCACATCCCGATATGGCATGTGTACTCATGGGCTTAACGATGTATGTCCGTAATGAGGGCAGGGCTGCTTCTGGAGTCAGCCGCGTGGAACATTTACCGCATGGGAATGCCGATGAAACGGCAGATGTTTCACGCTTTTTTTTCCAGAGTTGTTTGGCATCGCCATTTTGAGTATATTCTAATTGGACCATTCTGCGTGTTACCATCACACACTTGCACTTCCTCTGAAAAAAAGTCATATTAACAAACGTTCAAACGAGTCCCCTTTCATTATTTGTGAGCTGTCAATTAACCACCCACAGTCACGTGATTGCTGAAATCTGCTTACGTTGTAATAATACAACGTAGCACGGCACTGCTCCTGGCTGATGTCGGGTACAGTGTTCCGTACGAGACGTAGTGTTGGACTGCATCGTCATACATTTTCATGGATTATATCCTGAGTCTGGTACCAGGTGATTGCCTTCTGCATCCACGCAAATAAGGAGGTATTCTAGCCTGAGCTTCACCAATCAAAGGGCCCACTTGTGTCACAACCGACTTGGGGTAATAGCAATTTAGTAACGTTCTTCCTTGAGATAAGCAGACTTCTATCAGGAAGAGATCGAAACGAGCACTTTTGACTAGAAATCGATCGCGTAACCACATTAATAATTGCATAAAATGGTCCCTTTTTGCACTGTTGGATCACGGAGGTGTTTTTTCCTTCCTCCATGGTTGAATGTATTTCATGGTAGTAAAACTGCACCAGAGCTGCCTGTATGGCGTCTTATGCTAGGGGGTTTCATTACATTTTTCAATTTCAATTTGATAGGATTATTTTGTTTCTCATCCGGGGAAATTAGACTAAGGCTGTATCCGGGAATGTGTCAACGTAACCGGCCGACTGTAATCTGTTATGCTAGCCTTGACTCCAAGCAATCCCCAGCTGGTTGTGGTAGACCGCGGTCTGCTTGCTCTCCTCCTCCCTTCCCCGATGATGAGGAACCGATTGATTGAAAATGAGGACAGATGGCTGGATTATTAACCACATACTGCGCTTTAATAGCCCTGTCTCCAAGTAACAGACCCTCTTGATCAAACAAAATAAAGACATTAAAAAGCAAAATGGAAGAATGGAGCTTTATTAAGTACTGCCGTTACGCGTGTCAGCCAGAAGATGGTTGAAACAGCTATCACCGGCCAACGTGTTAGCAAATAATTGCCCTCGTACCTTGTATGGGTTGTAACACAGATAGCTTGTAACAATACATGGATAATTATGACAAACAACCTGTCGTTTGCATGCCCAATTTCTTTAGCAATTAATTTAACATAAAAATGGAAATACAAAATTTCGTACAGCGTACAAATGTTGGTGGAAAATGATAATATTTCAAATCAAGATTCACCAGTCAAACATTTCGACCAGAAAACTCCAATTCAGCCTCTTAGATTTGAAGTCATTTTCTCTCTCTTTAGTAAGTTAGCTTTTAAGTCACCTTTTGGAAAGCACACATCATTACCAAACAATTGTGACAAATGGAGAGCAGTGACGCACAAAATGTCCAGCGCGTAAACAGTAAACACAGTTATAGTCAAGCAAACACAGAAAGGCTGCGCTTAGAAAACTCTCGATTTCCCGCCAAGAATTCGCGTCAGGCGATCTCCGCGCCTGACGCAAGTCCCTATCAGTCAACGCCATCGTATTAATCAAGGCCAGATAGAGAATTGTGACACCCTGGAGAAATGGAATTGGCATTGATAATTAAGGGGGCCATTCCACATGTTCGTTGGTCCGTTCCGTATCCACATCCGTTAACCGCGCTTCACTCCTGTACAATTTCAATTAACAGTCTCTGCAACTTACTCATAAGGGCGGGAGGCGTCTATTAAAAGGCGCCCTTTGACACTGGCCAGACAGTAAAATTCGGCAATGTTTGGAACGTTTGCACAAGTGAAGGTCAAGCGACAATTCGTAAATAATCATTAGTGCTTTGATCCATTTACAGATGGTTGA